GGCGCCGATGGCGATGACGTACATGCCGAGGAAGGCGGCGGGCACGTCGAGCATCGCGCCTGCGTGGGCACCGCCACAGGGTGAGCAGACGAGGGGGGGGGCGGAGGGGGGAGGAGGGGGGAGGAGGGGGGCGGAGGGGGGCGGAGGGGGGCGGAGGGGGGCGGAGGGGGGGGATGCCGAATCGCGAGACGATGGCCGAGATGACGAGGGAGAGGATTGCGACCCAGGTGAAGGACGTGGCGAGCGTGACCGGGTACCAGAGCGGTGTCGGGCCTGCGGCTGGGGCGAGGGGCGAGGGGCGAGGGCTCGGGGGATGGCGTTGCGCCGTATCCGGCTACAGTTGTGTCGTATCCGGCTCCATCTCGGCCATCTCTCGGCTGCATCTCGGCTGCATCTGGGTGGCGTGCCGTCATGCTCGCACGGCGGGCAAGTGGCGCTCACCTGGGAGGGGCGGAGGGAGGGGGCGGAGGGAGGAGGGCCAGCCGGGTGAGAGAGAGAGCACGCGAGCGCGGGACGAGTGCGGGATGTGTCGCAGCCGAGGCACCGGCCGCTCGGAGGAGATCTGGCCGAGATCTGGCCGAGGTGCGGCCGAGGTGCGGCCGAGGTGCGGCCGAGGTGTGGCCGAGATCTGGCCGAGATCTGGCCGAGATCTGGCCGAGATCTGGCCGAGATCTGGCCGAGATCTGGCCGAGGTGCGGCCGAGGTGCGGCCGAGGTGCGGCCGAGGTGCGGCCGAGGTGCGGCCGAGGTGCGGCCGAGGTGCGGCCGAGGTATGGCCGATGTGCGGCCGAGGTGTGGCCGAGGTGTGGCTGAGGTATGGCCGAGGCGTGGCCGAGGTGCGGCCGAGGCGCGGCCGAGGCGTGGGCGTCTCACCAGCCACTCGACAGGCAGGATGCAGAGAGCTGCAGCCTTGCTCACGGCCTTGCTCGCGGCGGCGAGCGCTGCCGCGGCGGCGCGTGCCAGCCCTCCCTTGGGCCCTCATCTGCTGGTCCCTCTGCTGGTCCCTCTGCTGGTCCCTCTGCTGGCGGGCTCTCCTCCTCGCCGCGCGGAGGAGTCCACCTCCCTCCCTCCGGCGCAGGGCTGCCCGCCGCCCCGCCGCCCGCGACCGGCAGGAAGGAGGAGGCGGGCGGCGACGGCGCGGGCGCGTGGGCGGGCGGGGAGTACGACCCCGAGTACGACCCCGAGTAGCACGAGCCGGCGGTGGGCGCGAAGGGCGACTCCGCGACGTGGAGGTGGAGGTGGTAGGGGCTGCCTATTATTGTTGCTGCTATGATGATGATGATGACTCCGCGACGTGGAGGTGGAGGTGGTAGGGGCTGCCTACCGCCGAGTCGGTACGGGAAGGCAGCGGCGTGCGCTCTCCGCACGAGTCCGCCTATGGGACAGCCTTGTGCTTTGGGAGCCGCGGCCGTGGGGAGGGTGGCTGCCTTGTCTGCGGCGGCGGTTGCGTGGGCGGACGGAGCTCGGGAAGACTCGCGGGAGGACTTGACGAATGACTCGGAGAGGCGGTCCTCCTGGGAGAGCGTGGAGGAGGGGCGGTGGAGGGAGGCGGGGAGGGAGGCGGGAGGGAGGGCGGGGAGGGCGGGGCTGGAGGAGAGGGAGGAGAGGGAGGGTGGTTGGGAAGAGGGTGGGGAGGGCGGCATGGGTCTGGGAGGGAGTCGGTAGCTCGTCGCCTTGCCAAGCCAGTGCTATTATTCTTATTCTTGTTGTTACTATGACCTTGCCCAGCCAGTGCACGCGGTACAGCCGCCGCACGTCTGCCGCGTAGACCACCACCAGCATGTAGCAGACGTAGCCTGCGAGCATGGCGGCAGCCTCGACCGCCTCGATGCGGCCGTCGCTGAAGATGTAGCACAGCCACGAGATCGAGAGCAGGTACGTCACCAAGTCGCGCGCGAGCGGCCGCCGCTTCAGCAGCAGCGGCTCCGCCCCTCCGGCGGCGACGCCGCAGATGCCCGGGATGGCGGTGAAGGCGATCATGCCGGAGCCGAGGATGGCGCCGACGCCGAGGACCGCGTCGTCGCCGTCGTCACCCTCGTCCACGTACCCGTCGTGCTTCTCTGTCGACAGCACCGTCTTGAGCGTCGAGATTGCGTTGATGATCACCTCTGGCGCCGCACTACCGAGCGCCATGAAGGAGGCTCCCGCGACGTCCTCGCGCACGTTCCAGCGCACGCACAGCGTCTCCAGGCTCACGACGAGGTGGCGGTCGGCCACAATGGCGACGGCGACAAAGGAATACACGAAAGCAATAAGCTCGACTGCCACGCCCCACCACTCGCCGTCGATGTTGTCCAGGCAGAGGTTCTCCCTGCGGTGCAAAGGGCTGGTGGCGCGGCGGCCGCAGCGGAGCGGGTGGGCGGTGCTGACTAGCGCGCACCAGCCCGCCTCGCACGCCATGCTTGCCGAGCACGAGTCCAACCCGCGCCAACCCTCACCGGCGGGAAGAATTCTTATACGCCAGCCAGATGTTTTTTCTTTATATGTGCCTCGCAGCTACGTATTCTCGTATTATCTTCGAGTCAGGTATTGCGTGGGGGCGGTACGTATTCCCGTATCACTAGCTCCGAGTAGAGGGGGCGTCCTTGCAGTTAAGGGGAAACCTGGTACGCGGGTCCAACCCTCGGAGAGTATTCTTTAGCTCCGAGTAGGGGGGGCGTTCTGCAGTTAAGGGGAAACCCGGTACACGGGTCTAACCCTCGGAGACCCGTGTTATGGCCCTGCGAACGCGCACCCCCGGGGCTAGGGCTCTCTAGCCCGTAACCCGATGCCGAGCGTCCGGCCAACTGGGTGCGCTTCTCAGCTCCCCGGTCCTGGGCGTGAGGTTAATGACCGCACTCCAAGTGCTCCAAGTGCTCTTACTTCCGCAAGTTTACTTTACAGCCCTTTCCCTGCGAACGCGCACTCCCCCTAGGGGTCAGGGCTCTCTAGCCCGTAGCCCGATACCGACCATCCGGCCCGCTGGGTGCGCTTCTTAGCTCCTCGGCCCTGGATGTGAGGTTACCGACTGCACTCCAAGTGCTCCAAGTGCAAGTGCAGTGGCCCCGCGAGCTGGGAATAGGACCGCCGCAAGCGGCGTGGCGTGGGGCGGTTGAGCATCCCTCCGGGGGCCCCTCTGCGCCGGGGAGGCGTTGTTGGAGGCTAGGACGCAAGCGTCCGTCGCCCTTTTCAAACTCGGGGCCCACTCCGCTACGCTCCGACCCGAATTTGGAGGGCCATGAAGTTTAAGGTGTTGCTGCGCAAAAGGGGCGGGGCGCGGGCGCGCGCGGCAGGCCGAGAGCTCGTTTTGGAGATCAGACCTTTCGATGGTTCATGCTTTCTATGTCTATCTATCATGCTTCATGACACGACACGCGGTGGCGTGGGCGAGCTGGTGGAGCTGTCAGCTGATCGATCCAAGCGGGTGGGGAGTGGGGGGCATGGATGGGCATGCAGGTCCGCCAGTCGGCCCGGTTCTGACGTGGTGCTGCCGCTGCATTCGCTGAAGAAGAGAGGTGCGACTTGATTGGAGGCACTGGAGGCGAGGCGAAGGGAGAGGTTGGGCCGGGCCGTGAGGGGCTGATGGCGCTGGCCAGCGCTGGCCAGCGCGGGGTGTGAGATGTCGTCGTCGTATACTGCTGGCCCTCGCCCTCAGTTGCCTGGGCTGTGGGCTGCAGAATTGGCGTCTGTGGCGTGCTAAGGCTCTGCAGCGTGATGGCTGGCGGGACTGCGAGGCCGGCGCGGAAGGAGAGGCTGGGCACGAGCCAGGAACAGGCTGGCCAGGTCCGCAGGTGGCTGCGCTCGGGCGAGGCGCGCGCGCGCATGGCAGGCCGAGCAGGCTCGGCATATATGGTGAACCTCCGATGTCGCGATGCGGTCCCGCTTTTCCGCGATCATTCCGTCCAATCGAAGGAAGCGCTGTCGCCCATGTTTATGGAGTAACTTGTTACCGTTCTTCGTCTGACGTTCCGTGGTTTTTGCACGGTATTCGGATTTTCGCTATTTGGTCATGTGGGTGTGTATTCCGGGATTAGTCAATGCACAATGGTACCGCGTCGGCGACGCGGGCGCCTTGCGGGCAGAGCCCTTAGCCACCCTTTGTCTTGCGCGGTCAAAAACCAGCCTCTCTCACAGCACACTGGCACGACAAGGGCGCGGACTGGCGCGGACTGGCACGGCGGGAAGAAGAAAGACGAGGTCGTCCTCCCGAGTGGGGGACTAGCACTAGCCGTCTTCCACATGGTCCCTTGGGTCCCTGCTGCTCCTAATCTCTCTTCGTACATCCTCCTGCTGATCTCCGCAAAGTCCTGCTCCCTCCCTCGTCTCGCCCTGCGCGTTTGCTCCGCCTCCCCGTCGTCTGCCCTGCGTCGTCTGGTGACGGGTCCTCCATAGTCGGTTGAGGTCGCCGCCCTCCTCGTGCCTCTTCCCAACGTTCCCTCGGCGGTCGATGCCGTCTGCTCCGGCTCCCCCGTCCCCGGGTCTGCCCTGCTCTCGTCTGCGCTAGTTTCTGTTTTGTCATCACTGGCGTCCCTCCTCTTCTTTCTCCTCTTCTTGTATGCTTTGTACATCGCGTCGATTCCTTTTCGCGTGAGCACCACCCTGAAGCCCGCCCAGCAGCTGAACCGCTCCTTAAGAGTCGAAGGAGCATTATCAGTCTCTCACCCACTTCGCGTTAAACGTTATTTAATGTTTGGAGACGTACCGTCTCGGCAATACAGGGGTCACGGCATGATCCATGCGGTGCACGTGTCACGGCGCGCCTAGAGCTGTTTAACATTAACTTTGGGCCACAGTTGCGCTAGTGTTGGCTGAAATCCTTTAACCCGTGACGAAAAACGGACGCACACCAAGCGCTAAGCGTGAGGACGCGATTTCGAATTCGGAGGTGCATCTGAGCAAAATTGGGCCCGCCCAGGTGTGAAAAAAATTATAAGGGTCATAGTCGCCGATTCGATCCGGAAGCCACTCGACCATCGAGAGGCCGACGGCCGAAGTCGGCAAACGTAGATCAAATGGTTAGAGATAGCGTCCACTCAGCGACCGATACCCGTAACACATTACCGAGGGAATTAGACACCACAGATACGCACAACCGACGCCCGAAGTGCCAAGAAGGACGTCATTAGTACGAAACCTCAGAAAAGGCCATGGGCGTCGAGAGAACATTCCCTCGAGAGGACAAAGAAAGGCGACGCACCCCCTCCTTGCGCAGTGTCCCCCGCTATGTGTCGCCAATTGGGGCACGCTATCCTGTGCAGTCAGGGCAAGCGGGGGCGGGGGGCAGTCCCCCTGGTCTGATACTGGGGTGTGGGTGTCTCCAGTCTCGGAGGGGGGCAAGAAGGTAAGAATATCTAATTGTTGGCTGAAATCCTTAACGTTGTTCAAGTGTTCACCCCAGCCCAAGCTGTTACTGTTTGTTACTGTTGTTACTGTTGTTCAGCGGTCAGCAAGCAGAAAATGCCAAAAAAACCGGGTAAAACCCGAAAATACCTGGGGTTTTTTTCCGGGTATTTTCGGGCACTATAACCGCCGCACTGGACGCTGGAGATCGTCGTAGCTCGTAGGTCACTGCCAGGCCTTCCTTATTGTTGTTCAGCCGGCCTAACGTTAGCTACTGTTGTTGGGGAGCCCCACTGTTGTTCTGTTGTTACTGTTAACACTAGCAACACTGTTCAGCTCCCAACGTTAAACAGCTCTAGCGCGCGCCAACTCACAACGTCATCAGGGACAGGCGCGTCACTCCGCCCCGCGCCTCGCCCGCCGTCGCACCAGGAGGTCGTCGGTGGACAGCCCGCCCGGCGGTGGCTCCATGGGCACCTCGCACACCTCCATCACCGGCTCGCACTCGGCGGCGGCTCCGCGCGCCGTGGCGGCGGGCGGTGGCGACGAGGCGTATGAGAGGATGCAGGTCCAGACAAAGGAGCCGAGGGAGACGTAGGTCACCTGGTGGAGGGGGCGGGAGGAGGGGTGAGGGGAGGCGGGAGGCCCGGAGCTGTGCGTCCGATCTGCGCCGCCTGCCATTCGTCTGGCACGAGGACAAAGTTGGACAGCTGCAGCGGGAGGAAGAAGGACCTGGCAGGGTGCGAGGGGCGGGTGGGAAGGACCGGGCAGGCGGTGTGGGGGATGTGGAGCGGGAAGGGGCGGGGAGGGGTTCGGACCAGCAGCGGAGGAGGAGCGGCCGGATCTGCGCGCGCGCGTACTCGACCGCCTCGGAGGGAGGGTAGCCTCGCACGGCGGCGACGACGGCGAAAAAGAGCGGAAAGTAGAGGGCGGGGACCTGGGCGGGGAGGGGCGGACTCGGGTCGTGGCGGGGCGGGAGGGGAGGCGGCGGGGAGACGACGCGCCGCGACGAACTGCATCGTCGCCGTCTTGACGAGCGCAGCGCCGAGCCGATCCGGCACAGCCGCCTCCTGCGGGTTTGGCGGGTCGGTCGGTGAGAAGGAAGCTGCGCGTCGGCCGCCCACTGCACTCCTGGGAGACGAGGTGCGCCTGCTGCAGAGCTGCTGCCGCGGCGGCGACCGCCGGGCTCTCGTTTAGCACGTCGAAGAGTGCGCCCTGCACGAGGCCGTACGCCCCTCCGAAGGCGCCAAAGCCGAGGTTGCGGCGTGCGTCAAACCACTCGCCCCTGGCCTCGCTGTCGCCCCGCTCCGGTTCACGGGAGGCAACCTGAGTCACCGCGTCGCCGCTGACGGAGAGCGCCAGCGCGGTCGCACCCTTGGTCGCGAGAGGGTGCGCGACGAGGGCAGCGCCGTATCCCGACACGGCGGCACCGAGAGGAGCCGGCAACTCGAGAGGTGAAGGCGCCAGCAGTGAAAGGGTGGCTCCGACATTCACGATGATAAATAACGACATTCGTTCCTCCTCGCTTTGCGATGAAGAGCTTCTCGGCGCGAAAGAGCTTCTCGGCGCGATCGCAGTGGCAGCGGCCGGGCGATGGAAGACCAGACCGTTTTGAGTAACCGGAGGCGGAGGTGGGGCGGAGGGACCGCCTCCGAAGAAGAGACATCAAAAACGACTGCAGAGGCAGTGGGGCGACGCCCGAAAGGCGAGCAAGAGACCGAACCAGACTGAAGATTCACCCTGAAGGGTGGGGGACGAGGCCGGGCAGTGTACACGCTAGACAGTCGTGTGTGTACGTGACGGGTGGTGTCGTAGTGTCCGTGTCCACTAGCTCCGAGTAGAGGGGGCGTTCTGCAGTTAAGGGGAAACCCGGTACACGGAGCCCTCTCGGAGAACTGTGTTTACTTTAAGGCCCTTGCCCTGCGAACGCGCACCCCCGGGGCTAGGGCTCTCTAGCCCGTAACCCGATACCGATCATCCGGCCCGCTGGATGCGCTTCTCAGCTCACCGGCCCTGGATGTGAGGTTGCCGACTGCACTCCAAGTGCTCCAAGTGCGGGCCGCCGGTGGCATCTCTTTCCACCCAAGAAGCCCGTTTGGAGGGATGGGCGGCAGTGTGCGGGCGGTGAGTGCTAGTCCTCTCATCAATTTAGAACAAAACGCCCCCCCCCCCCTCCCTTCCTCCCTCTATCCCTCTTGCTCTCTAGACCTAGACACCGACAGACTGTTCACCAACCAATCCTCTACCCCTCCCTCTCTCCCTCCTAGACTCCCTCCACTCGTCCGATCTGGCCTGGCGCGGGAGCGTTTCACGCTTGCAGGCGCACCCGCGCGCGGGGGCATCTGCGCGCACACGGCGGCTTGCTCAGAGCGTGAGGACACATACGGAGGCGCGGGCGTGCGCGGGGCGGGCGAGGTGACGGGCGTGAAGCGAAAGCGGGTGAGGTATAATGGGCGTGGCCCGAAGGCGTGACATTGCAACCGCTGCAGCCAGCGGCGTACGCAGAACCTGGGCCCCCACAGGGGGGCAAAATGTGGAACGTGCCACATGCAAATCCACATGCAACATGTGCATGCGCATGTGCATGTGCATGAGGAGACGATTCAGCGATCCGCCATCTGCATATCATACACAACCATATATCGGTCTCTCGTCTCTCTCGCGACTCTCTCGCGCGCGTTCGTCCCCCGAGCCCCGTCCCGTCCACGTCCACCGCAGTGGTCCGCACACGACACCCCACACACCAACACCAACGCTCTCTCCATGGCTCTCTCGTCGTGAAAGCGCACTGTCCACGCCGTTTTTTGCCCCTTCCTGTGAATGCGCTATAACCGCCTCCTGTGTCGGGTCATGAGTCCCCAGCTAGGCCCCCAGATGCTACGAAAACCCATCACGCTCAGGGCGCACAGCCGCCACACATATCGGATTAATCCGATATCGATCGTCGAGGTGCGGCTGAATTTAAGGCCACACGAGCAGCACACGATAAAAGTCTGTGACTCACTGTTCAAAGGAGCCGGTGCAGCCCCATAGGTTCGGGAGCCGATAGTCGTGCAGGTGGATCCACGTGTTTGCCGCCAGCTTGACCCCCCTCCCCACCGGCCTCGCCTCGTGGTGCGTGCGCGCGTCTTGCGTCGTCGGGTCGTCGGCGAGGACCGACGGCCAGACGAGGGCGCGGCCGCGCTTTGGGAGGATGGCGATGGGGGGCGACAGGTCGGTGAAGGCGGTCTCGCCCCCCGACTCCACGTCAGAGAGGTAGAGAAAGACGGTGAGTACGCGCGGCCCGTGCGGCTCTGCGAAGGTCTGGCCGGGCCGAGGGACATAGTCGTGGTGGCGGACGTACCGCTGCGACGGGTCGTACCTCAGGACCTGGTACTGCTCGTAGTGCTGCCGGCTGATGCCCGTCAGCGCCTCGATCCGCCCCGACAGCGCCCGCACGTGCCTGTCCGCCTCGCAGCCCGCCATGCACCACGCGTTGCTCGAGGTGCGGCGCGAGGAGACCTCCTTGGCAACCTCGCCGTCCGCACTCACCGTGCCGTCGTCAGTCGAGCGCTCCATCTTGCCCATGGTGGTCGTGACGAGCGCCTGCGCAAGGGGCAGCTAGGAGTGGCACACGCGCCCTCCCGGCCCGGCTACTCTGCCGCCAGGCTACTCTGCCGCCAGCCTCCATCTGAGCGTCCGATAGAAAGCCGTCAATCGTGACGATCCATGGCCCGTCGGGCGGCCGGCTGAGCACCTCGACCTGCCCGTCCGCTGTCTGGATCATACGCTCAAACAGCGCATCGAGCCCTCCCTCCGGCAGGCCCGAGGTCTGATTGAACCGGTCGAGGCGGCACCGCACAGCCGGGTCGAGCATCTCGCAGGCGTTGCACGTCGCTGCGCAGTTCACGAACATCCACCCCGGCGAGTCCTTGCAGCTCGCACGCATCGAGGCGCAGCGCGCGGGGTCCTTGTCGAAACATGTGGGCACAGGCTTGGCTGCCCGGCTCGGCTCAGACCGGCTCCGCCGGCTCTCGTCGGGCTCGGACCGGCTCCGCCTCTCGTGGGACGGCGGCACGCGCTCGGTGGCCGCTGTTTCACGCCACAGCACCGCCCAGGCCACCGCTGCAGCAGCCGCTAGCGCGAGCAGCGAAGCTTTGGTGGACGCGCTGAGGAGCGGGGCTTTTGCTTGCCTTCGGCGAGACATGCGGCGTGTCGACGATGTTTGGCGTGTCGACGATGTTCACGAGGGACGGTGATGTGGCGAAGCTCACCGCTTCCGCCGGAGCGGCTTCGTGAAGAGGTCGGCGAGGTTGGCGTCACTGCGTACGAAAGGGACGCAGACAGAGGCGGTGCGCCTCGACCGCCTCGCGGATGTAGAAGTGGCGCCGCTCGATCGACGTGCTTGAGCTTGCCGTGGTGTTCGGGGTTGTAATACAGTTGTAAGCGGAGGCGATGGCGGCTAAAATGTTCGAGTTTTGGATCGTCGAGTAGTACAGGTATTCCGTGGGGGCTGGGGGCGGGGTGTATTCTCGTAACATGTGCGTATTCTCGTATCACTGGCTCCGAGTAGAAAAAGAAAGAAAACATGTCACTAGCTCCGAGTAGAGGGTAGAGGGGGCGTTCTGCAGTTAAGGGGAAACCCGGTACACGGAGCCCTCTCGGAGACCCGTGTTTACTTTACGGCCCTTTCCCTGCGAACGCGCACCCCCGGGGCTAGGGCTCTCTAGCCCGTAACCCGATACCGATCATCCGGCCCGCTGGGTGCGCTTCTCAGCTCCCCGGCCCCCCTGGATGTGAGGTTAATGACTGCACTCCAAGTGCTCCAAGTTTGGCAGGACGTCGAGGAACTTAGCTCCACAGAAAAAAAGAGGACGACCGTTTCGATGAGTGGCGACGCGGCGCGCCGCTCCGTCAGCCTGGTTGTGAAGCGCAGGCCACGGCCAGGCAAGGTGGTGACGACCACCGTCTCGGTGGACCACCGGGTGGTGCTGTTTGTGGCCCTCCTCGCGCTCATCGCCTCCGCTGCCGGCCTATCGGTCTCCACAGAAAGTACAACGTCTCCACCTACCGAGGTCCGCCGCCTCAAATGGACTCCACGGGCGCCGCGGCGGCTCTCAACTTGCAACTGTGAGTGGACCACCGAATACGCGTGCCCGGGCAAGACAGCAGGCACCAAGGGCAATGCGAAAGATGACGGCACCGCCTGCTTTCAAGCCTGCTGTCCGGGGGCGAGTGCTGCAGAGCGCATCAGGACTCTCCTCACCCAAATGGTACTTGACACGAATCTCGAGGCCTTGCTACCGACGTTACCTGAAGAGGAGCGGAATGCCCGTAAACACGCAAACCAGCTCATCAACGGTCAGCAAGAGACCGCGAGTGTTCTTCTCGATGCATTTACCCGGCGCCCAGCGAGTCCGGTGGTGACAATTGCTGTCTACTTCACCCAATCGACCCAAAGTTTCTCCGATGGAGTTCTCAGGAACAGGAACGGTGGCTTACGAGAACTCTTGTTCTGAAGCGCAGGGCTCATGTCATGAATCAGCAAGATTTTCTCGATGGGTTTCCTCGATACAGGATTTTCTCGAGCACGGCGCTGACGACGGCCTATTCCCCGCCTATGGCACCCGTGACAAATCTGAAGAACTCGATGACTTTCGGTTGGTCGAGATAGCAAAAGCTATCGGGGAACAGGTCGAGGCCGCGCACGAACTAGCAAGTCAGGCTGCCGATGTGGCTGAATTCTCTGCACCGCTTGTTATAGCCTCGGCGGCAGGGTGGGGTGGAGGAACACTGGCCGCTGGCGGCAGTGGGATGACTGGTGGAGTAGCGGCGCTTGGTGGAGTGGCCGCATTCGCTGTGATCGCCGTCGGAGTAGGTGTATATGGCACCTACAAGATTGCCGACTACATGATTGTTCGTGACGAAGAAAGAGAGGCATTTCAGTGCGATTGCGAGTGGACCTTGACTTACGCAGGTCCTCATGCTCCTCAAGCGATCCAGCCGCATACAAGAAAGACCCGACCGCACCGCATTGCCATTGGGCCAAGAACGACGGCTCAATGTGCTTTGACTACTGTGTTGTGGGTTTTTTGAGGAGGTGCAGCACGTGGCCAGTGAAATCATTGACCAGCGCGATCTGCTCGTATCGGAGGTCTACTGTCAGCGATGCTTGCTCAAGGAAACCCTCCGATGCGTCGAGATATGTCCTGCAGAAGCGATCTGGGCAAAATATTATTGCAAATGCTCCGCGAGCTGTCCTAAAAGAAAGAAAGAAAACAGACAACCCAAAAGGGAGGATCGCGCCGTGGAGCCCTCCCCCTGGGAGCCCTCCCCCTACTGTTTTTATCGTGCGCTGCTCACTCACTATACACTGAGCCTGGAGAGAGAGTACACCACACACACAAACACTACTCCCCAACACGCGGCCTAGCCAGGCCTGCCTGCTTGCTGCTACACGATGGCGACGTTCTCAGGGTTCTGTCTGCGTGCTTTTGCTGCCACCCAGCCGGCGAGGCGAGGTGACAGGTGGGCGCGACCGTTGCGCGCTGCTCGAGTGCGCACGACAAAGCAGCTCTGATGCAGCCATGGTGACCTGCGTGCGCGGGGACGGCAAGGGTCGCGCCGCAGCCCGTGCTCACCGGGGGCTCAGTCTCGATGGGGAGTGTGTGGGGAGAGAGAGAGCAGCCAGGCCCGCGTACCGGTAATGCGAGACGACATTGACAGTTGGAGCCGCCCGCGGCTTGCAGAGCGTTTGAAAGTTGTCGGGACGTGCGCATGTCGCGGGCGACGCCCGTCCGCAGCAGACACGTCGTGGTGACGATGATGGCGAGGAGCATCACGGTGGAGACGAGCGGCACGGCCCTGCCTGGGCTCGCTCGAGTTTCCGGTCTGGGCATGGGCATGGCTTTTTGGTTTTTCACCCGAGAATTTCTTTGTTCGGCGTTGGCGTCGCAGTCGAGTTGGCAAAACGGGTCTTTCAGTTTCGATGCTTTGAGTGAGGACGGTCGGGCCTCCGCCTCGACAGGGAATGTGCGGAGGAAGTGACGGCTCGATGAGCGGCGAGCCGAGCGCCGCGTCGAGCGGCGAGTCAAGCGGCGAGGAGGCTGGCATGCTCCGCGCAGCGATCGTTGCTCGAGCAGCGCTGCCTGCAGCGCGGCCATTCGAGCTGCTCCGGCTGGCGCTCAAGCGGCAGACCTTCGCGCTGCCGGAGCATGTCGAGGCGATGGCGGGCGGCGACGTGTGCATCGGCTCGTGGGTGCGGCTGCTGCCCCCGCATCCAGATGCGCATCACACGCTGCAAGATCGCCCCCCGGGTTCCTCCATGGTGCGGGGCAAGCACGAGCCCGGGGAGTTTGCAGCGCGGCGCATGCTGGATCGCCTTCAGCTGCAGGAGCCTGCAGAGCTGACGACGACGCACGCGCACAAGCTTCTGGAGGTCTTGCCCAATACGCTGGCCGAGGAGGCCTACTTACCGCTGCTCGACGTGCACGTGGTGCGGGACCGATGCGCGGCGTGCAGGGACTGCTTGGTGCTCGAGACCACGTTCTTGCTTGCCTACGACACCGACTTTGAGCCGCTCGATAGCAACGACATGCAAAATCCATGCCGCTCCCACTGCCCGTCAGACCATGCTTTCATGTGCGAGTGCGCGCGCCAGTGCTGCTCACATTGGGAGTGCAAGTACAGATGTATGGGTAGTGACAGCGACTGTGACAGCGAGTCGGGCGAGGAGAGTGCGTAGGAGAGAACTACTGCTCTGTGTGTGTCTTTACAAATTACTACGTCGTTCAACGTAGAAACTTGTTTCTGTAGTGTAACCCACTCCTAACATTAATTCTTCGCGTGTACAGGCTGACCCAGGCTGCTCTGCCCACCCACCCACCCACCCACCATTACGTTGAACCCATGCAGAGCTTTTATTTATTGCAAATGCTCCGGGAGCTGTCCTAAAGGAAAGAAAGAAAACAGACAACCCAAGGAAAAAACGTCGTGCATTATTTCTTTGGGCGGCGTTGGCGTCGCAGGGTTCCGGCTCCTAGCCAGATAGGGGGTCTGTCCCCACTGAGTCGCGCCAAAACGCCCTACCTACCTACCCACCCACAGGCCGCGCAGCGAAGCGAAAAAAGACGAAAATATGGGGCACCTACCTATTGCGGGGCCCTCTGGGTGCGAGACCCCCTATCTGGCTAGGAGCCGGAACCCAGTCGAGTCGGCACGCTGGGGTCGGGCCTCCGCGTCTCATCCGTGAAGCGAGCGCACTCTTGCCGCCTCCGCCTCGACAGGGAATGTGCGGAGGAAGTGACGGCTCGATGAGCGGCGAGTCGAGCGCCGCGTCGAGCGGCGAGTCAAGCGGCGAGGAGGCTGGCATGCTCCGCGCAGCGATCGTTGCTCGAGCAGCGCTGCCTGCAGCGCGGCCATTCGAGCTGCTCCGGCTGGCGCTCAAGCGGCAGAGCATCTCTTTCTTCCGCCCTCGAGCGCTGAAACCGAGCCTGAGCATGGAGTCGGTGCAGATCCACGGCGCGAGAGGTGCGGTATGGCGTGCCGCGCCTCTGATTGCGGCCAACACGGTGGCCGGAGGTGTGCTGTTCAAGACGCACGGATTAGTCGCCACGACCCTCGAGGACATGGGAGCTGGCGTGCACGTCGGGACGGCGGCACTCGCCGGCGGAGCGGGCGGCGCTGCTCACGCGCTGGTGGTTGTGCCTCTCCAGGCTGCGTTACTGCGGTCAGCCGTGCCTCTCGCGGCCGCACTACCAGTCGCGTTGGCTCGCGACGCTTTGGGCTTCGCCGGTTTTTTTGCCGGGTGGAGTGGGATGCAGAGCGCTTGCGAAAAGGCGCTCGCCTCTCGCCCGTCGAGTAGTCGGCCCTTGGAGCTGGCAGCTGCCGTGGCGGCGGGCGGGGTCGCCGGAGGCGCGTACCAGTTTATCGCGCACCCTTTCGAGGGCAAGGCGTCCCTCGGCGAGGTGCGGCACGCGCTGAAGAGCGGGCTGCAGACGGTGGCCCGCTCTGCCGCAAGCGCTAGCAGGCCTGCGGTCTTGGTTGGGAGTGCCACCTTTTTCGCGGTAGAGGTGCTGCGCGCTTGGCTCGATGCTTTGGACGGCAGGAAGCGACGAGTCCGGAGGTTCGACAGCTGGGAGTGAGAAAAGAAAAAGACCGCGTCCGTGTCGACGGATCGGAGGAGCGACCGACGGAGTCTTTGCGACGGTTGGTGTTGAACAACAGTGTTGTCTCACTCTCAGTCTGTAGTCACGAGTCTCGACTCTCGCGCCGCGCGGGCTCGGGGTGCCTGCGGCTGCGAGAGACCGGCAGGAGACCGGCGAAAACAAAATGAAACGCCACAATTCGAGGTCTGCGGAGTCGTCTCTCGTGTTTTAAATATAGCGTCGTGTGTTTGCGATGTGCGCGATCGTTGGGGTGTTCGGCGGTCCACGCAGAGACACGGGCTCGGGGAACCGCCTGCAACCCTGCTGCAATCTTCGCCCGCCATCACCGAGCGCTCTCCCCTCCTGCGCAGCACGTAAGCTGCAGCGCGACTGCCCGCCCCTCCGCCGAGCGACAAGCCCGGCGGGGGAGAAAGGAGAGTGATCAGTGATGCCGCCCCGCTACCGCCACTCGCTCGTGTCATCCTCGCGCCAAGCGGCGCGCCGCCGAGCCATCGCTTGCTCCACCGCGTGCTGAAGCCCGCCCTCTCTCCCCGCCGCCGGCCGCTCCCCCGCCGCCACTCCGCGCTGCGCGACCGGCTGCAGCCTCTTGAGCCGGGCCTGCAGATCAGCTGCCTTGGGCACCGCTGCGCCGGCCCCCGAGGACTGGCTGTTTGGCGTGACCGGCGCGAGCGGAGTCCGGCCGGTCGGCCGCGGGAGGGCGGAGCGAGGAGCGGGGGCAGCAGGCGGCGGCGGCGGCGGCGGCGGTGGAGGAGGTGGAGGAGGTGGAGGTGGAGGAGGCGCCGGGGCAATCTGCGACGCGAGCGGCAAGGTGGGAGCAAGCAAACTGTCGGTCGGCGAGGCCCGCTTCGCCGCAGCGAGGGCGGAAGCGACGAGCGGCGCAATCTCGAGCGGCGCATCGCCTCCTTGCGCGCACGCGAGCTGCTGCTGCCGCTGAATCTCGGCGCGCAGCGCAGCAAGGTCGAGGCCTCCGCCGCCGCCGCCCATCGCGAGGCAAACCTGCTCAATGACGTGCGGCAGCGCGTCGAGCGAGACACCGCCGGCGGCGGCGGCGGAGGCCGCGGGCGACGGCGATGGGGGCGGGCCGCGCAGCTCGGGCCGGAGGAGCGGGTGGTCGAGCAGCTCGGGGATGGAAGGGCGGAGGGTGGGCTGCCGCTGCAGGCAGCGCCGCAGCACGTCCACCATGTACGGGTTGCGCGTGGGCGGGAAGGCGATTGCCTTGCTCGGGTCGGGGATCGCCTGCAGCTTGAAACATTCATAGTTAATCCCGTGGTTCATCGCCGGCTCGTGAGGCGAGGCGACCGCCTGCAGCTTCTGGTAGATGGTGCGCAGGTGCGAGAAGGGGGTGTGCCCGTACACCATCTGGTAGAGGATGCAGCCGAGGGACCAGACGTCCGAGGCGCGGCCGAGCTTGAACTGGCCCTCGGCCGAGGAGTCGTCACCCTCGCACGTGATCGACTCCGGCGACATGTAGTTGACAGTCCCGACCTGCGGGTCACATGCGGTCGACTCTTGGCATGCAGTGGACAGGTGACAGGTGCATGCAGTCACCAAGCCCAACCTGCGAGTCGCGCGCGATCTTTGTCGTGTCGGCGCTCGACTGCTTGGCGATGCCAAAGTCGATCAGCTTGAGCGAGCCCTGGACGCAGAGGAAGTTGGCGGGCTTGAGGTCGGCGTGGATCACGCGCGCCTCGTGGATGGCGTTGACCGCGGCCAGCATCTGCTGCCAGTACATGCAGATGAAGGACTCGGAGAGGGTGCCGTCGCGCTCCGAGCCGCGCTGCCGCTGCAGCATGTGCGCGAGGTCGATCTCGCCGCACTCCATCACCAGGTAGACGGCCTGCTGCTCGAGCTTGACCTCCGAGTCGACGAGCCTGCGGCGGACAAGCAGCCGTTAGAGGTCCACCCGCGGGGCTCACAGCTTGACCTCGAGAGTCGACGGGCCCGATGATGTGCGCGTTGAGCTGCCGCTCCTTGAGCAGCTCCATCAGCGCGATCTCGTTGGTCACGGCCTCGAGGAGCTGCTCGTCCCCGTCGCACTTGACCTGCTTGAGCGCGAGGATCTTGCGGCTCGGCGCGAGCACCTTGAAGACTTGTGACGTCCCGCCGCGCCCGATCGGCTCCAGCTTCGAGTACGGGACGCCGTTGATGTGAAACACCTCCGCTCCCGCAACGGCGCCGGGCGTCTCGGCCGCCGCGGGCGGCGCCTTGCGACAAGCGGGCGTCTGCGGCGCCGGCGTGACTTCGCCGACGGCCTGCGGCTTTGGCGTCGCCGCGGCTGTGAGGGGCCGTATCCTCACGATGGAGCTGGACGAGGGGGCGCCTGCGCGAGGAGGGGGGCGAGACCCCTCAGCCGGGCGGCGCGGGTAGCGGTCGAGGAAGTGGTGTGTGTGTGTGTGTGTGTGTGTGTGTGTGTGTGCGTGTGTGTGTGCGTGTGTGTGCGTGTGTGTGTGTGTGTGTGTGTGTGTGTGTGGAGTGAGTGAGTGAGTGTGCGTGTGCGTGTGTGTGTGTGCGTGTGCGTCGGGTGGCAGTGCGTGTGCGGTGCTGCTTTGATCTCTCTCGGGTGGCCACGGCACCGCAAGAGGACGGCACGGCGGGAGCACGAGGTCCGCGCGTGAAGTGGCGCGGCGTGTGCGGCACGGGCGTCTGCGGCCCCGAGGTAGCGCCCAGCAGCGGCGCGAGCGGGGCCGTGTCGGCGAGCTCGCGCGTCAGCTCGCGCGTCCGGTCGCGGGCGAGTCCGTGCTCGAGAGTTGAGCGGCTGCAGAGCGGCGCCGTGTCGTCGAGCGGCTCCGAGGCGGCGGCGCGCCCCGCGCTCGCGCCGGTGAGGGAGGGCGTGGCGGCCGCGAGGGAGGGCGTGCTGCCGACGGAGGGGGGTGGCTCGTCCCCCTCGAAGATGGCGCCGAGCAGAGGCGGCGCCAGCGACTCCGCCTTGAGGGCAGCGCCAGCCTCGAGGGGCGCCGAGCGAGCGCCGCCGCCCGAGTCGGCGTCGGACAGCGCCCGCTCCGCTGGCGGCGGCGGGGCAGGGCTTAGAGACCTCGGGACAGGGCTCGGGTGCGCCTCTTCGGATGAGCCCGCCCGCTTGGCGCCGCCGCTCAAGCCGAGCCGGCTCAGCCCCAGCCTGTCGCCGCGCGCGGGGCGTGGGCTCACGCGGCAGGGCAGGGAGGGGCGGGGAGGGGCCGGGTGGAGGGGAGGGGCGGAAGTGTGTGTGGGGGGGGGCCTGCGAGGAGGCGCCGACCGCCTCGAGCTCGCCTCCGCACTGCCCGCCTCCGCACCGCCCGCCTCCGCACTGACCGCCCTCGCCCGTGGGGCCGCCTCGCCTCCTGCGGCGGGGGCGCCTCCCCCCGCGCCGGCGGCGGGGAGCTTGAGCGTGTCGGCGAGCTCCGCCGCCCGCAGTTCGGCGGTCGCGGTCGCGGACTCTGGCTCGGGCAGGCTCAGCTGCTGCGTGAGCGCCTCCGGCAGCGCCTCGGGCGGGGGCCGCAGAGAGACGCGCAGTGTGTCCGGCAGCTCGAGCGAGCGCCTCTGCCGCGGCCTCTCCGCACCCGCCGCCCCTCCACCCCCGAGGGAGCCGCGCGGCGGCGGGAGCTCCACCGCCACCGTCTCGTCCTCCGGAGAGACGCCCGCCGCGCCAGCGCCAAGCAGCCCAGCCCCAAGCAGCCCAGCCCGGCCGGCAACCGGCACCGCCGCCGGCACCGCCGCTGGCTCTCGCCCCCGCCGCTCCGGCTCGAGCGGCGGCCGCGCTGTCGGCGCGCGCGCTGTCGGCGCGCGCGAGGCCGGGCTGTCGGGGCCGACGGAGATGGGCGGCGGGCGCGGCACCGCCTCCCTGGCGGCGCACACCGCTGCCGCGCGCTGCGCGGCGTGCAGCGCCTGCTTCGCCGCCGCCACATCGAGCCGGCCCGCCTCGACGCCGCGCCGCAGCGCAGCCTCTGCCGCTTGCATGGCGCCGTGCTCTGCCTCAAAGAGCGCGCGCGCGGTGTAGTACTGCGACTCGTCTGCGCCCACGCCGCTCTCCATTCGCACAAAGATGGCGCGAGCCGCCTCGGCCGAGCTCTCCGCCTCGAGCCGCGCATACTTGAGCCAGACGCGGAAGTTGGCGCCGCCGCCGCCGCCGCCGCCGCCGTCGCCGCCGGAACCGAGGCTGCCGGTGACACTGCGGTATGCTGCGGTGAGCCTGGAGCGCCGCTCTTCCGCGGGAAGCCCTTCACACTCGCGCTCGACGCGCGCAATGAACGACTCAGCAAACTGCGGCGTGAAGAGCGTCGACGTCAGCCCGAGCGTGTGGCGCAAGGAGTCGTCGCCGTCGCCCTCCGCGGTGGACGAGGAGGAGGACGTGTGCTCGCCCTCGCCCTCCACGAGCAGGCCCTTGATCTTGTCGCGCAGCGCAGCGCTGCTCATGCTTTGGTCGGCGCCGCGACGTGCGAGGCGCGGCGGGGAGAGGCGTCTCGGGCGGCAAGAGGCTGAGCGGCGAAGCGCACGATCAAAAATCGTGAAAAAAGAAGAAACCGCAAAGCGTGCCAGCGGCAGACAGAGGAAGAAAACGGCTGGGGGCGATCCGAGAGGCCGAGATGGATCGAGCGGCCGCGGCGGCGGGCGAGAGGGCGGTCCTGGCGGAACTTAGGGCGATCGGTCTGTCGCTCGCAGCCAGCACCGGCGTGCTCAGGCCAGTGCAGGCGCGGGAGGTGCGGGGACTGGCAAGACGACTGGTTGGCTCGACGGACCTTCTTGGACAGGTTTTCCGGTGGGAGGGGGAGGACTACCTCGTCAGCCGATCGTGCGCACGATCAAAAATCGTAAAAAAGAATTTTATGCGCAGAAAGATGATCTTCCAGGTGAGTTCATCTTGCCGCCCTTGTTGCTGCCCTAATCCCCCGTGGTTGTCTGCTTTATTTATTTATTTATCTTGCCGGCGGTACCCGACGCTGCCTGAACGGCAGTTGTCGACCGCCGGAGTTGACCGGCAAGATGAAGTCCACTGCGCTCGAAAAAAATACCACCGGAAGCGCCTCGCCGAGGCGCACAATAGTCCCCAGTCTGGCAACGGCCAGTTCTGCCATCCGGGCCGCTGGGAAAATGTTGTAAACGAACGAAAGGGACTCCGAATGTAGTTCGGTCGACGCTGGGCTCCGCAATCCAAACTCTCCCGCAAACTCCCCCGGTGGAAAACTTTAAAACATTGGTATTGCTAAAAATCTCTCTCTCTCAAAAAACTTTCGCAGGGGAAATATCGAATGTAGAATTCAGCCTAAGAAACAGATCCGGAGCTTTACAGTCGTACGGTCGTTGACCCTCCCACCGTGTGTGTGTGGCCTGGGCCGCCCGGACCCAAGAGCTGAAGCGCGTGCAGACAGCGTTGCGCGAGCGTTGGAGAGGCCAGCCTCCTCCGGCTTCTCAGCGTGTCGCGAGTGCTCTGTGTCTCTATCTGCCTGGTGGTGGATGGGTGTGGTGGGGGAATCCTGGTGGCTTTTCGTAACAAATTTACGGAATTCCGGAATTACGGACACCCCTCTCTCCCCGTCCCGCGGCCCGGCCGTGAGACGCCGCGATCTACGCGTCTGGCCGAAGGCTCATCCAGCCCCATATCTCTCGTGGTGTGTGTGCACTGCACAGTTGTGGTTTCTTTATCTACATCGATGTAGGTCACGAGGCCCCGCCATGCAGGGCGCTACGGGCTCCGGCCGGACGCTACGAATCAAGTTGGTGCCGGCGATGGGGACGTGGCGTGGCGCGTGGGTTTCAAAAATCACGTCAAAATCTCTCTACTCTCTGTCTCTCCTCCCCCTGTGCGCTGTACCCCGCTGTCGAGAGTGTCGTGCGAGAGGGACACACATCATGTTCACAACAACAACAACATGTACATGTACATGTTGTGCATGCACACATGTGTGTTGTCGTGTGTGGTTGACGCTTCGCCGCACCGTTTTCCCTTTCCCTTTTTTGGTTTTCCCGAACCTCGGTGACGGACCCTGACGGGGACCACACCCGCAGCCGCGCCCCCCTCGAATCCAAAGAATCCAAAGTCCCGCCGCCCATGCTCAGGCGCTCAGCCCGGCTTGGGCGCGCCGTGACCGCCGCCCTTTTTGGAGCGCTGCTGCTTGCGGATCCTCGCGTATCGCCGCCGCGTGCGCGAGGCGGCCGCCGCCGCGAGGCGTCGCCCCTGCTCCTCCGCCGCCGCCGCCTGCGCGTGCAGCCGCAGCGCGCTGACGCGGGACGCGTTCTCGCAGGTGAGCGTGTGCAGCGAGCGAGCGAGGGAGCGGAGCTCGCACCCCACTGGGTCGGGCCTGCGCGGTGGGCGGGGGTTGGCGAGGCGGTGCTGTCGTCGAGTGGCGGCGCGTCGTGCGGAACCGGCGGCAAGCGGGTCTCGCTGCTTATGTCTCTGGGATCGCCACCGGAGCGAAGCGCGGCGCTGCAGCGTTATTTGGGGGGGCGGGCCGGGCTCGCGCGTGCCTCAGCTGTGGGGGGAGCGATTCGCGGGCAGGAAGTAGGCCGAGCTCGTGCAGCGAGCTACGTAGCCGCCGCTCCGTCCGCTCCAGCGTTGCCGCGTCCGCCCCACACACGGCGGCGGCGGCCGCGCCGCCCGCGCCGCCGTGGACGCCGCCGGGCAGGAGTGCGGCGATCAGGCGATCTACCAGGGGGCAGCGCGCCGGCGGCGGCGGCAGCGGCGGCGGGCCCACCGCGGCGGACGTGGGCGGGCGCGCGAGCAGCTCATCGACGGTCGCCCAAAATTGCTTTGGCGGGATGGCGCGCTCCGCCTTTGGCTTGACGGGGTTGTACTCGGCGGCCTCGCCCAGCTCCGCGCGGCGCTGCTCCCTCTCGGCGGCCGCCTTCGCCTCGGCCGCTGCCTTTGCCTGCGCCGCCGCCTCGGCCCGCTTCCGCTCGCCCTCCTGGCGCACCGCCTCGGCCGCCGCCCACGCACCGTCGAGAATAGGCTCCTCGCCGGGCCGCGTCACGCCAATCAGCTTGAGCTTCACGCCGGTGATGTCCACCGGCGCCAGGCCCTCGGCCGCGCCCTCGTCCCCGCCGCCGCTCTGCGGCTCCTCGCTCTCCTCGTCGCTAAAGGCAGAGCCGCCGACCTCCGACGCCTCGTCCGCCACCGCCTCGGAGCCCTCGTCGTCATCCGCTGCGAGGGAGGCGTCGTCGTCACGAATGCTCTCGTCGTCACGGAAACTCTCTTCGTCCATCTAGCGGCCCGAGAACGGCGAGCGCGCTCTGTGCTGCATGAATGTGGTTGGGCAGGTGTGAACAACACCTCGTGACCACGGCGCCACAGGCGCCTGTTGATGGGTCCAGGTGATAGCCCTGAATGGGCAATGCATACGCCTAGTCGGGCCTCAGATCGCCCGACCGCGTCCCGGTGCTCTGTGGTCGGATTTGTGACGCCGCCGCACCGCGCCGCGGCCGGGGGCCCTCCGGAGGCCGAGGATGGCCGTGACGGACCGGGACGAGCTCTGGGAGGTTCAGTGTCAGTGTATATATTGTAGAGACTGACCATGTTCACAATAGCTAAGCCTGGGAAGGCGATGCCGGGGCCGTACAGCAGCTTGATGGTGCTTCGCCGGCGTGCGTCCCGGAGCGGTGCCGGACGGGCGGTCCGTGGGACAAAATCGGGGGACAACGCCGACGGCGCTCTGATTCGACTTTTTACTTCAAACAAAGCCTACCGCACGCGCCGCGACGTGGCGCGTGCGGTAGGCACTCGGGATTTTACCAGATCGGCGTGTTCACGCCGGGATCGTGTCCCCGACAACTTGCCCAACCATTCCTCCAGCAGAGTAAGAGGTTCCTCTTTTCCGCGCCCTCCCCCGCAGGGAAGGGCGCGCGATACACACGCTTGCAGACTAACCCTCGGAGAGTAAGAGTATTCTTTAGCTCCGAGTAGAGGGTGCGTTCCGCAGCTAGGGGAAACCCAAAGCGCAGAACCAACCCTCGGAGACCCGTGTGTTATGGCCCTGCGACCGCGCACCCCCCAGGGCTAGGGCTCTCTAGCCCGTAACCCGATGCCAAAATCATCCGGCCCGCTGGGGGTGCGCTTCTCTTAGCTCCCCGGCCCCCCCTGGCGCCTGGGTGTGCGGTTACAAACTGCACTCCAAGTGCTCCAAGTGCGTGGAATTGTGATCGAGAGGGCGGGGTGTGGGGGTCGGGAAACAATAACTAAAATCGAGCGCCAAAGCACCATGGGGGAACCGGCGGTGCAGATTGGGTGTGGTGCTGGGATGCGGCCCTTAGCGTGTAGGTGCGGCCGCCTGCGCGCGTTTCTGGCGCGGAGAAACGCGCGCGCAGTCAGGCTGCCCGCCGCTGCACCTCCCGCACCGCCGCCGCCAGCCTTCGCACGCCCTCGCCCATCGCCGCCTCTGTCTCGAAGGCGAAGCAGAGGCGCACATGATGCCGGAAGGGCTCCGCAGCGCCGGGTGCGCACCGCGCCCCGGGCAGGAAGAGCACGCCGTGCCTCTCTGCGACGGGGAGCAGCTCCGTCGCGTCGACGCCTTCCGGCAGCCGAACCCAGCAGAAGAAGCCTCCCAGCGGCTCGGTCTCCACTCGGAAGAGGCCAGGCTCGGCGCGGAGGGCGGCGCAGAGGGCGCGCGCCTAGGGCGCGTGCCGCGGACGCGTCACGCTGGCGGCACTCGCCCGCGGACAGCTCTCCTGGCGCCCGGGCCGAGCCGCGGTACGTCTCCGCCAGCCCCGCCACCACTTCGTCCTGCTCCGCCTCGAGCAGCTCGCAGGCTACCTCCGAGACAAAGGGGGCGACGCCGCCGCCCGAGGAGAGGTAGCCGCGCGACGCGATCCGCCGCAGCAGCGCGGGCGGCGCCTCCACCCAGCCTAGCCGCAGGCCTAGTTGGACAGGTCCCGGACACGTCGTGCACATGTCCTTGCCGTGCCTCTTCCCAGCCGAGCCGCGGGCCCGGCGCGGCGATCTTGGTCAGACTGCTCACGCTGAGGACACGCCCCCCCCCCCCCTCCTCCTCTTCCTCCTCCTCCTCGCCGCCGCTGGGAGGCGCCGGCGGCGGCGCAGCCTCGCGATACGCATCGTCGTCGTCGTCGTCATTGTCGCCGCCGCCGCCGCCGCCGCCGCCGCCGCCGTCGCCGCCGTCGCCGCCGCTGCCGCCGCTTGTGGGGAGGGTGGATTGCTTCATCGCGCGGTACGGGTCATCGTAGCAGAGCAGGCGCGGAGGCGGGCCGGAGGGACTCCAGTCGAGCAGCTGGTACACCTCGTCGGCCAGGACGTAGAAGCCGTGCTTCCGCGCGAGCTCCACCAGCCGGCTGCGCCGCGCCTCTGGCAGCGTCGCCCCGCTCGGGTTTCCGTGCGAAGGGACGAGGTAGAGCAGGCGCGGCGGTGGCTTGCCGCTGTCCTCGCAGCGAGCCTCGAGGGCGCATGTGTCGAGGCCGTCTGCGTCGGTCGGCAGGCTCTCGATGCGGAGGCCGTGGTCGGCAAAGATCTGGTGCACGAGGAAGTACGTCGGCGACTCGCAGAGCACCGTGTCGCCCGGCCGGCTGAGGGCCGCGGTCGCAAGATCGAGGCCGTGCGAGACGCCGCCGGTCGTCATCAGCCAGCTCGGAGAGACGGGCCCACCGTAGGCACGCCCGAGGTACTTCGCCAGGCTGTCGCAAAAGTGGCGCGTGCCGAGCACGTCCGAGCAGTAGTTGAGTGGAAAGGCGGCCTCTGCCGAAGCAGGGTCGCCCTTCTCGAGCCGGGCGGCGGCGCGGCGGGCGGCGCGGGCGAGCGGCGCGTGCGGCAGATTCCTCACGTGTGGGTGCCCCTTCCGCAAGTCAATAACCATCGAGTTCGCGGAGAGCCGTGACAAAAGAAAATTTTCAATTGGGCGTCGCCTCGGAGTCGCTCCTCATCGCAAACCCTGTCCTCTCTGGCGGAGGAACCCGTTCACTTTCGCCCCTGTCTACTGTCTTATCCGCATCGCTCGTCTATTCGCTGAATTCTTTTCGTGAGAGAGAGTTGTTTTGTTTAAATTCTTTCCAGTGTCGTGCGAGGGAGTTCGGTTGTAAAATTCTTTTCGTGTTTTTCTTAGTCTCCGGCGGTAGAGCACTTGAGGTATGAGGACTGGAAGGGTCGATTCCGCCGGTCCTCTATTCTTTTTACAAAGGCCGGGCAAAAATGAATGAGGGTGTAGGCAGGTGTAGGCAGGTAGGGTAGTCTGGGTCTCGCCGACCCCCGACCGAGGCTCACCGAGCGAGCGAATTTGGCAGGTGTCGAGCTCGAGGCCAGGGCTCAGACTGCTGACTGGCGCATCGGTCCAGCGCTTCCTTATTGTCATTTACCTAAAAACTCCTAGATCCCGTCTCACCTGGGGTGCCGGCCGAAGCTAAGAAACCACGGCGTGGGTGTGTGGGGTGTGTGTGGAAAGGCTTAGAAACGGCGGCGTGCCGCGTGATCCTGTTTTCTTAATGCCCGCAACAGACTGTACCAGAAAGAAGAAACCCTGCTACAGGTAGCCAGACACAGCGAGGCGCCATGTCACGCCACGCCACGCCACGCCACGCCCACCCAAGCCAGGGAGCGGTGGGACAGCTCAAACGGCCGACCCACCGCAGAGAAGGTGCGGACCGGTGGGGAGGGGCGGCGTAGGCGCGGTGGCGCCTCTGAGAAGCCGCGGCGATGCGCGGAGTAGCCGCGGCGGAGCGCGGAGCAGCGCAGCTCATCGCCTACGGACAACTTCGTTAGGTTAGGTGGAAGGTGAAGAACTTTGTAAAAAGAAAAATAGAACTAATCGGCGTTCGATCCCGTGGTCGAGAAGGCGTGAGAGCTGCACCGTCGCCGAGCCGGAGGCGGGCACGCCCGAGGGCGCACCTGTGGCTTTGCCTGTATGGCAAAAAAAGAATTTCTGCCCGCCTCCACAGTGGGCGCCGGCCCAGGAGAGCGGAGGGCCGCACGATCTGTCCGAGGAGGGATCGGCGCCAGCAGTGACGCTGACTGCGGATGAGGGCGCCATCGCGCTCTTCGGATGCGCACTCGCTGTTTGGCATGGCGAGTGCTGCGCTCGCCGAGGCAATCTCCGATGCGTCGCGGAGCCCGGCCTCGCTGCTCGGCGTGGGCTCTCTCGCCCTCGTGCCGTCTCCGCTCTCGGCGCGGCTGTTCAAGGCGGTCGCTGCGGAGCTCTCGCAGGCCGCTCCGCAGCCCGTGCTCCCGTCGCCGCCGCTGCCGCTCCTGCGCCTCTGGTACGGGAGCCGCCACGTTGAGCGCTTGGCCGTCTCCGCCGCCGATGACGACTGGGCCGTCGAGGTCGGCGGCTGCTCTGCTCTGCCCTCCCTCTCGTCCCTGGACCTGCCCGGAGCCCGCCTCACCGCACACGGCGCCGCCCACCTCGCTGCCGGCCTCCGTGCCCTCACGCACCTCCGGATCGCCGACTGCCACGGTCTCGGCGCCGCGGGGTTCGGCGTGCTGTGCGGAGGATGTCTGCAGCTCGTCTCGCTGCAGCTTCCAAACTGCAAGATAGCGCTCGACGCGGCAGCAGTGCGCACCATGGTCGACCGGCTCGCCGGGCTGACTGCGCTCGACCTTGGCGGCAACCTGCTGGCGAGCGCGGCGGTGCCGCCGCTCTGCTCGGCGCCGCTGCGGCTGCTGCGGGTGTGGGGCAGTGTCAGCGGCGACGACGCGGCCCTGTCGCTGATGGACAGCTCCTGCCTGTCGGTGCTCGACCTCGGGTGGACGGGCGACCCTTGGAGCCCGCAGCTCTCGCGGCTTTTGACGTCCATGACGCGTCCGGGACATGTCCCTCAGGCGCCACCGCCCTCGGGCTGCAGTGCGTCTCGCTCGGCCTCGGTGCTGCGCCTCGCGCCCTCCGCCCCTCAATCCACCCTCTCGCCCTCCCTCCCGTGGCGCCTCCGCCGCCGCAGCACTCCCCACCCCCGCCGCCGCAGCGTCCCGCCTCGCCGACCTCTCTCTCGCGCACGCCGCCCTCCTCCCCGGCGACTTGGCCCGCTGCACCTCGCTCGCGAGCAGCGAAAGCCTCACCTCGCTCACGCTGAGCGGCACCTCCCTCTCCGCCGCCGACCTCGCCGCCGCCGCCTCGCCGCCCGGCCTCACGTCGCTCGACCTCTCGTGCTGCTGCGTCGAGGCGGCTGCCGCCTTGCGCGTGGCCCTCTGCGCCGCCAGGCGGCTCGAGCGGCTCCTGCTCGACCGGCTCGAGTGCGCCTGCCGGCCGCCGCAACACCGCCCTCCTGGCGGCGCGCCGCCGGTCGCGCAGTCGCCCGCGCCGCTGCGCGAGCTGCGCCTGTCAGGCTGCCCTTCGCTGGGCCCGCCCTTGTGGCCGTCCGCGCCCCTCTCCCTCGAGGTGCTCACCCTCACACACTCACCCTCACACACTCACCCTCACCCCCTCACACTCACACTCACACTCACACTCACACTCACACTCACACTCACACTCACACTCACACTCACCCTCACCCTCACCCTCACCCTCACCCTCACCCTCGCCCTCACCCTCACCCTCACCCTCACCCTCACCCTCACCCTCACCCTCACACTCACACTCACACTCACCCTCACCCTCGGCCTGCCCACTCGGCTCGGGGCTCGTCACTCACGAGTCCCCTCCTCCTCCCTCGAGGTGCTCGACCTGAGCGGTGGGGAGACGCCGTTCTCGCACCTCCTCCCCCCCGGGCCGCCCGCTTCGCCGCCCGTCCGCCTCCCGGCGCTCCGTCTGCTGCTGCTCGCTGATTGTCGCCTCACCGACGCCGACGCCCGCCCGATCAGCCACCTCTGCCCTCGCCTCGAGGCCCTCGACCTGAGCGGCAACCCGCTCCTCTCCGACGCCGCCGTGCTGCCTCTCGCCGCCCTTCGCCGCACGCTCCGTTCGCTCGCCCTCAAGCGGCTGCCCCTCGTCACGGCGCACGCCCTCGCCGCGCTGCGCGCCCTGCCGCTGCAGACGCTCGACCTGCGCGGCTCTAGCGTGCCGCCCGACGAGGCGGAGGCGTCTCTCGGCATCGCCCGGCGCGCGGCCGAGTGCGGGCGGCGTGTCCGCGACACGTCCCGCGACACGTCCGCGACTCGTCCGCAGGCGCGCGGCCGAGCGGGCCCGGCGCGCCGCGGCGGCGACGGCACGTTTGCGCGCCGTGCAGACCGAGGCCGAGCGGAGCGCGAGGGCGGCACACCGCGCACGCGGCAAGGTCCGCTACTCGGTCGAGGCGCTGCTCGCGTTGCGCCAGTCGCCGCTCGCGCGTGCGCCGGGCAGGCCGACGGCCAGCGTCGTCGACGGCGGCGGCGGCGGCGGGGCGGCGGCGGCGCTGCTGCTACGCAGGGCTCCCTTTGGCAGCGCGGCGTGCGGCGCTCCCTGGGAGGATCGCGCCGAGGTGCTCTGGGAGCAGGGGACGGGAGGCTGGGAGGAGCCCGAGCGAGGAGGCGCACTTGAGGAGGGCTTGGCGGGCGCCAATGGCGGCGGAGAGGAGCGTGAGGAAAGCGATTGTTGAGACGCGCCGTGGGCCGTGCGCACGTGTGTACTGGGAGAGACTAGGCGGTAGTAGACAGAGGTTTGTCTGTGATGTGTGAACGATTCACACGGCGTTGTCGCGTCGAGCGGGAGCGAGCGCGCGCCCGGCGGCCCACTCTTTATATTTAAGAGCAGCAACACGCCGCGCGGGTGGTGTGGTCTCGCGCTGCGTCTGGAGACTGGAGCGTGGAGCTGGAGCCTGGAGGTCTCCCCTGGTCTGACTCTCTGGTCGGGTGTGGTGCTGGTGCGTGGTGGAGCTGTGCCCCCGTTGTGCATCTCGGTCATGATCTCGGTATCGCGGGTCTTGCGTGGTTTTACTCGCTGGCGGCCACGCCAGGGGGCCGCATCGTTCTGAAGATGTTTTATACACCCACATATACGAAACCGAAAAACACGAATCTCCAAAACGAAAAGGGATATGAAATCCCTTATGGATCTCAATGATTGGCGGAATATACTTGAGCATTTGAGCACTGGATAGGGTCGATTCCGCATGGTACGGGACCCCTCGATCGTCTCGCCCTCCCTCTCTGGCGTGTTCATTGGGGGGGGTCATAGCAAACACGGTGCAGGATCGAGGTGCACGCTGCAGAGAAGCAGTGTCGTCCCCCCTCTCCCCGACGGCGATGGCGGTGTGACCGATCGAGCTACAAGGGGAGCTCGTTCAGCATGATCAGGGTGGGTCGAGCAGTTCCTCACTTCCTCAATGGGTGAGCTTCAGACCTCAAGGCCCTATGACCCATCACCTACGACCGTCGTGGAGTCGAACCACCAATCGGGATGGAAGCTTCCTGCTTCCATCTGGTTAATTGTCAAAATTCCTGTTGTGCAAGAGGGGAGGGGGCTCTGACGGAGTGTGTGGCGGGAGAGAGGGCAGGGAGTGGGCGCGGGGGAGGAGGGGGGGGGGGGGGGGCTCAGCCGTGCAAAAAGCATCAATTACTAAACCTGTGTCGGTGAGAGAGAGTTCTTTTGTTGAATACTAATAGTAATGAAGAAATATTGCTCGGCCGTTCATGAAGTCCGTCTCGATCTGGAGGAGACGGGTCAACCCCGTGAGGACCAGATCAGGCTCACATTGTCGTAGCCGGAGGGGATGTTGACCTTTAGCTCTCGGGGCCACCCTTCCGCTTTGGTTTTTTCCCCACAGACCACTCGGGCAGCTTTTACCAAATGCCAAAGTTGCACTTTACCACTCGGGCAACTTCGATTGTATTTTACCACTCCGGCAAACTAACTCGATGAAACGGCGGACGGAAAACGCGTTCGCGGCCGCTCGCCGGAGAGCTATGCATGAAGCGGCCGGCGCGCCGCCGCAGCTCACCGATGAAGCTTGCGCCGCGGCTCAAACCACAGGCGCAGCAGCATTGCGACGCATTCTCCAAGCACGGTCTCTGGCGCTGCAGCTGCACAGAGAGCGAGCAATAGTCGACAAAAACACTGATCTGTGTGCAGCAGATCTCCATGTCGGTCGCGCCCAGCGAAAGGACAACCGCGGGCCTCGGATGCTCGCCCGGATGCGGACCCGCCGTGCGAGTTGCAGACCCGGAGGTGGCCGACCCAGCTCACCCCCAGAGAGGCCATGCCCAGGGTCAGGCATAAAAAGGGGGGTGTTTCCGTCCGTCTCCACACTCCTCGCTCCTCCGCGGAATATAGTATATACTGTTATGTGTTAATGCCCGGGAACAGGTTTGTTTCAAGGGACTTTCCAGGGTTTTGGAAGTAAAGATATATTACCTTTTTTTCGTACACCCACGTGCGCAAGCCGCAAATATCTACCTATTTGCATGTGCATGTGCATGCACATGTGCATGTGCATGTGCATGCAACATGCATCCACACCCTAGGCCCACCCATCCCGACTTCGCCCCTCTCGCACGCCTCTGGCGTTGCGAGTGCACAGAGAGCGAGCAATAGTCGACAAAAGCACTGATCTGTGGGCAGCGGATCTCCATGGCGGTCGCGCCCAGCGAAAGGACAACCGCGGTGCACGCGGGCCTCGGATGCTCGCCCGGATGCGGACCCGCCGTGCGAGTTGCAGACCCGGAGGTGGCCGACCCAGCTCACCCCCAGAGAGACCATGCCCAGGGTCAGGCATAAAAAGGGGGGTGGTGTTTCCGTCCGTCCACACTGAGACACTCCTCCGCGGAATATACTGTTATGTGTTAATGCCCGGGAACAGGTTTGTTTCAAGGGACTTTAGGGTTGTGGAAGTAAAGATATATTACCTTTTTTTCGTACACGCACGTGCGCAAGCCGCAAATATCTACCTATATGTGCATGTGTGCGCGCTGTGACATGCATCCACACCCTAGGCCCACCCATCCCGACTTCGCCCCTCTCGCACGCCTCCACACGCGAACCACCCGACCCTCCCTGCGCGCAACACACCCGCCCACGACGCGGCGTGTGAGACGGGAGAGGAGGTGTGTGTGTGTGGGGGGGGGGGTATCCGCCCTGGCCGCCCGGTCCGGCCGCCTCATTTGAAGTTTGGGCCCTGCCCGAGAGCGAGCCGCAGGGCGGAGTGCTTGACAAAGGCTTCGCGCAGTTCGTGCCGCTCGACGGCGCCATCGCCGTTGGCGTCGAGGAGGCGGAAGATGGCGGAGATGGCCTTGAAGGAGTAGTCCGTCTCCCTCTTCAGGTGCTCGCGCAGCTCCTCCTTTGAGATGCTCCCGCCTCCGTCCGCATCGACGGCAGCAAAGAGGGCGTCAGCGTCGGAGTTGATCTCGTCCACGAACTTGGCATTAAACGCACCGAGCCCCGGCGCCTCGCGAAGCGGTGCGAATTTCGCGAACCCCTCCCGCAGCTCCTCCTTTGAGAGCTCGCCGTCCGCGTCCGAGTCGAGCTTGGCGAAGATGACCTCGACCGCCGCCTCGTTGTAGCCAGCCTTGAGGAGGTGCTCAGTCATCTCCGCACGCGACACGCTGCCGTCTCCGTTTTTGTCAATCACCGCAAAGACAGCGTCAGCGCCGGACTCCACCTCGGTCCGCATCACGCCCTTGTCCTCGACGCTCATGACGGGAGCGCCGATGGTCCGGGCGAGCCGCGAAATCGGGATCTGGGCGGGGATCGATGGCGAGCAAAGCGTCGCGCTTCTCGCGGCAACGGAGGGGCCCGGCCCCGCAAACGAGTAGAGCGACGGGAGGAGCGCCAGCATTCTACTCGGCGATGAATGTGACGGTGGAAGTGTGACGGTGGAGATGCCAGGGTTGTTTACGCGAACCTGCTTGACCAACAAAAAATCGCAACGCGCATATCAAGCCAGACTTCGGCGGCGTCCTATACGAGAGAGGAATCCCTGGGACCCTGTCGTGTGGGTGAACCCTGCCCAGCCCCCCTCCGTGTCGCGATGCGCTCCCCGCTCCCGTTCCCCTGTGTCCCTGATCGTCCTTCCAAGATCCTGCTCGTGCAGGTGGGGACCCTGTCCCTCTCCCACCCCTCGTTTGGCGTGCCCGTTTTATTTATTTATTTATTCGGCGGCGTGCTCGATCGATTCATTGAATACAGCAGGGAGGTAAACGGGGTGTGCACAAGCGCACCCAACATGACAGAACACACGTTCGAAGAGGGGCGAAACAGGACGGACATCCGAGTGGAGGGGAAGGCCAGGACGCTCTACCTCGGAGGGAAGAAACCGGCGCAAGACAGCGGCACGCACCTGGGGTCGAGGGAGGACGGGGACAATCGAGTGATAAAGCTGGAGGGGACCCCGGGCCTCGATACCAACGCGACATGGGAGGAGGAGATACCCGAGCAAAATAAGATCACGAAGGACGCGGTGAGAAAGATGATGGAGAGACAGGAGAGGGAGCGACAGGAGGGGAGCCTCGGGGCGGATGAGACGTTGTTCCCAGAGGGGGCGCCCCAGAGACACATAAACTGGAAGAAAGAAGACTACGAGCTGTTCGTGGGGCACGGACACGGGGCGAGCGCGATCAGAGTAGGGGAGCTACAGGAGGACCCCCTAACGCGCTTCTTGCTCCGATACGACGAATTTGAGACGGGGGGAGAGCTGACGGACGGCAACGGGAAGCGAATTAAGATAGGAAAAGACAGCGAGCCGCTGCGGTCGGGGAAGGGACGAGCCCTGAACGTGAAAGTAGCGCAGACATGCCTCGCGCTGCACGTCTCACACCAGTTCACACACTTTGCGGCGACGGACGGAGGAAAGGACCATGAAGACAAAAGGGCGGAGGATGGAAAGTACGTGCCGAACCCTAGGGTGGCGTACGGCGTGTTCGAAGGACCGACACGATTCGGAAAGAGCGTCCCGGGAGACGCACAGGTAAAGGATCCCAACGGAATCGGACCCTGTGAAGAAGGGGAGATACGGATAGCGTTTGGGGCGGGAATGTGGGGAGGAAAGCTGCCGAACATGTGGGAGCCGATAGACGCGGAGATGTACGCGATACTCGCATACTTACGCAAAATGGCGAGCGCGAGCGATGCGCAATCGCGGCGGTGCCTAGTGCTATGCGACTGCAAACCCGCGCTGCAGCAGATTGAGAATGCGCACCGCAAAGGGATGCCAGAAGGCCTGAGGGACTGGGAGAGAGGCGGACTGCTGGAGGCGATCGCTTACTATAGATCGAAGCTAGAGGCGGTGGTCTTCATGTGGGTGCCAGCACACGTGGGAATAGCCCCTGCAACGCATACGCCGACGCGGTGGCGACAGCACACCTCGGGGATAACGACACGGAGGACGCCTCGAAAGTGGTGCGGGACGCGGTGCGGACGCGGCCATGCATGTACACGGTGCGAAGGGAGACGGCAGAGAACGCAGAGAAGAGGGAGATAGTGGACCGACGGACGTACGGACACATGTGTAAGAGCGCGCACGAGTGGGTGTGCGAGCAATATCGAAAGACAGTGAGGCCGGGGTCGCACACGGCAGGGGTGGCGGGACGGTTGTGGAGCGAAGTAGCAGTAGCCAGCCTCAAGCATCGATGGGATAATAAGATGAGATTACCAGACGAGAACGGGGGGAAGGACAGGCGGGCGACATTTGACGACGTCGGGGATCACAATGTGACGACCAAAACGATCTTGGGGGCCAGGGTGAGACAACAGGTCGGGGTGCCACATGGGGCACACCACAGGCGTATTCTAGAGGGGGAAAAGAAACGGGGAATGAGGGGCCCCGCCACGAGAAGCGCGTTCTGGGGATGCAGAGCGTGCAAAGCGGCTAGGGATGAGGCCACAAAAGAGGCGCGCGAGGCAAGGAGGAGACGCGGGGAACTGAAAGACTGGGACGACTGGAAACAAGAAGACAGTGAGCCACCACAGGCGTCGTTGGCGCACATACTGAGCGGCAGCTGCGCTGGAAATAAGGAAGAGGCGCGTAACTTCATGCGGAAGCTCGACAAACACACAGCGAGGGCGACAGCAAGAGTTGAACGGGAGGCGCCGGACTCAAAAGACACCGCCACATTCCTGAGACGAGCGAGGGCAGTCTCCTTAAAGGCGAAAGGGTCTAGATTTGGGGCGCTCGCCGAAGAAGAGTACGACAAAATAGCGCCCGTGATTGCCTGCACGCTACCCGCACTCACGGACTCCATACCCGAAAGAAAGAGAAGGGAGCTCGCGGGAGAGGTGACGAGTGAACTACAGGTGGTGGGGAAGGCAGCCTCGATTGCCATACAGACATGGGTGCGGAACAACGACAAGACCAAGGCACGGGCAGAGGAACGAGAGAAGAATATAGGGTGGATAAAGCGCCTGTTCACGGCATGGAGGGTGAGCCACGCCGAACGTACCGAACGTAGAGCCGAGCGGAAGGCAGCGGGGGAAGACGACTCCGAGGAGGACGAACCAGTGGAAATTCAGTTGTCAGATGTCACGATGCATCCGAAGGGGACCCCAGCGCCGGCATCATCCGTAGAGGCACGAGTGTTCGAAGAGAGAGTGGACCTGAGCAACGACATGACTTGGAGGCAAATGCTCGGAGTGGGAGTCAGAAATGTGGTCCTTGCGCGAGGGGAGCTCGATACACTCGAGGGGCCAGGATACGCCGCGAGGAGGACGGAGTTGCGCCGAAAGGCGAAAGAAGCCGCGAGAACAAGGGACCGGCAGGCGGCGGCGTCGCAGGACGAGACAGAAGAGAACGACGCGACAGAGGAGGAAATGACAAGGGAGAGAACGACGAGAGTGGGACGACCGCGAGGTGGCATGAAGGCTGCAGCGAGAAGCGGCGAGAGACTGCGAAGAGAGATAGGAAGAGGCAGACTCCCTAGGGTGGGCGACGGCTAGCGCATCACACACCTCTCCTTAAAATCCCTGTGTGGTGGCGGCGTGCCGTCCTCCCATCCCTCCCTTGGGTTGTCTGTTTTCTTTCTTTCTTTTTTTCGGCGGCGTGCCGTCCTCCCATCCCTCCCTTGGGTTAGCTGTTTTCTTTCTTTCTTTCTTAGGCTCAGAAATGTGGTCCTTGCGCGAGGAGAGCTCGATAAACTCGAGGCACGAGGGGCCAAAATATGCCGAGAGGAGGGCGGAGTTACGCAGAGAGGCGAGAGAAGCAGCGAGAGCAAGGGATCGGCAGACGGCAGCGGCGTCTCAGAACGACAACAAAAGTTGTTTGGTATTGCTAAAAATCTCTCTCTCAGAACGAGGCCGAGGAGAGCGATGAGTCGCAGAGGATGAGGAACAGCAGGAGAGAGAACGAGGACGAGAGTGGGAAGAACGAGAGGTGGCATGAAGGTCGCTGCGAGAATTGGCGAGAAACTGCGAACAGAGATAGGAAGAGGTAGACGCCCGAGGGTGGGCGAAGGCTAGCACCGCACTCTCTCCTTAAAATCCCTGTGAGCTGTGTGGTGGCGGCGTGCCGTCCTCCCATCCCTCCCTTGGCTTGTCTGTTTTCTTTCTTTCTTTCTTTCGGCTTTGAAAACCTTCTTGACCCTCTAAGCAAGCCGCGTCTGTTCCTCCTTCTCGCCCTATGATCATAGACCGCGCAGAGCCTACCCACATAGACCTTCCACTCCCCTCACAAGCGCGACGAACGAACGAGCCACCGACGGATAGACAGGCGAGCTGCTTCGCGTTTGGCAACATGGCCTAGAACATGGCAAGCCCCTGAAGCCCGGCGACGCCTGCCCCTTCGCTTTACCGCCCCCCGCCCCTGCGCCCCCCGCTTAAATTGTGCACAATTCAGGACGATGAGTTTGCCATCCCGGAGTGGTTCGACTCCACACAAACCCGAGACGGTGACGGGTACTGTCTCGGCGGTCTCAGGCCCAGTGAGGTAGTGCGCCAGACCTTCCCGGATCCTGCTGAACAAGTTCCTCTTGTAGCTCGATCGATCACACCGCCATCACCGCCGACGTCTCACAGTGAGATGATGGAGAGGGGGGACGACACTGCTCCAGCAGCGTGCACCTCGATCCTGTACCGTGTTTGTTATGACCCCCCCCCAATGAACACACCAGTGAGGGAGGGCGAGACGATCGAGGGGTCCCGTACAATGCGGAATCGACCCTATCCAGTGCTCAAGTGCTCAAGTGTGCACACACCGATTGCACCACCGACAATCCTTACACCGTGGATGATTGGCCGCAATATCAAGTGCGCCGGCTTCAAGCAAGGCATCCCGCTCATACGTGAGTCGACTCGGTGGCAGACGGACGGCTTCTGCGCTGCGAGTTGCGCGGAGGCAGGGAAGGTGTTCAAAAATTGCTGTTGATGCCATTCGGCCGCCGCTGCTGCTGCTGCCGGTTATGCCTGCCTGCCTGCCTGCCTGCCTGCCTCATGCATGTGGTTTCGACGTGACTACGTACGTGTCTGTCTCTTAGTGTTGTTTGTTTTGTTTGTCTCTGGTCGCGTGGTTTGTTGGGTGTGTTGTTATCAGATCAAGAAGTGCTTTTCCGTGGTTTTTGTCGCCTGGCTGGCGTTTCGATTCCGTCTGTTTTCTAGGTTTGCGCTCTTTCTTTTTCTGCTTCCGCGGGCAAAAAACTCTTTTTCGTTCACGCCAGGGCGGCCGCCTGTTCTGTCCAAGCCCTGCCGACGTCAGAATGGGGCTCGAGCTCGAGATATCATCGCGGGGCATCGATGTGGAAAACGTTTCGCCTCGTGCCATCCTCAAGCTCATGATCTTTTCGGGGCAGTGTGGCGTCGCCATTGGCTTTTGCGGTGGCGTTCGCACCGCAGCGTACTGGTTCAACGTCCCGGAGTCCGAGAGCAGAAGCGCAGTCAGACTTTCCACTTACGTGGCCGGTGGCGCGGCAGCAGTCTCTCTTTTCTCGCTGCTGTGGTCGCGCTGGTGAGCCGCGCCCACAATCTGGCCTTTGCGGCTGTGCGGCTTCGAGCTAACCGCCCTCCGCCACCGCCCCACCCCATTACCCGCGGCATGGGCAGCCGAGGCGTGGGCAGCCGAGGACCGCGACTTTGGGCTATCGAGCACGCACCATCAAGCTCGTTGCAGCCTGGCATCTGCTGCGCTCGTCGCGCGCACAGCATTGTCCTGGCGTGCCTATACACCGCGCCATCGTTTTGCTCCAGGCAGCACCTTGCAGTGAGAGAGCGGGGATGGTTTTGCGGGTCCGGTGGTGTTCGTCCCTGACATTCCACTCGGCGGAGGGCTGCGGCGCGCAGGGAAAATATGGTTGAAGGAGAGTATCACGAACCATCACTTTCTGTGGGTAGTCCAATGGGTAGCAGGGCTTCTCGTCTCTCTGGTTGTGGTGTGGTAGCTGCTGCTGGTAGGACGGGGGAACGAGAGATGATAGTAGGGAGTAGAAGAAAGCAAAGAGGAGCCCTGCGCACGCACGACTCCGCAGGCGATGCCCCTCCCGCCCGTGCTTGTGCAGCCCCGGGGCTGCACAGGTGCACAGCGCAGCACGAGCGCCTCGCCTCCACCTCCTGCTCCTCATAGAAAAACTGCGGCCGCCAGCGATCTCTGAGAGAGCGTCTCTCGCCCTGGCGGACGGGGAGAGGAACACAAAGGAACGTACGGTACGGACGTCCATCCACTGGGATGAGAATACTGGAGAGATGAGGTCGAATTCAACAGGAGCGCCGCCTCAACACGGATGTACACGGCGGGTCTTGGCTCTATCGAGCCATGCTAGGTTGCTAGCTCCAGCCGCGCAGCCCAACCCGGCCGCCCGAGGGTGCTCCCGCAAGCAGAGAATAGACCATCCTGGGGGAAGCAACCGGGTGGTGAGCTGTGAGCTGTGTGAGGTCCGCCCGCGCGCTAATTCCAGCGGCTCGCCATACGAGGCGAGCTGACGCTGCGTCAGGGTGCGCAGCATGCTCTCTCGCTCTGTGCTGAGGCATGCTGGCTGGCGCCCAGTACAATGCCCTCAATACATTGCACTCCACGCCGTGCTGGCTGGTGCAGTACTATCAGTGCGCTGACTGGCGCGCGGTGTGCGTGTCGCCCTATCCGATTTGCGCACCCTAGGTAGGTAGGTAGGTAGGTAGGTAGGTAGGTAGGTAGGTAGGTAGGGGCACCACCGCAGGGGCCGTCCATTTCCAGATTTCAGCATGCTGGCCGCCCAAGAAAAACAGTCAGCCTGTTTCCGGAAATGTCGTCTTCACCTCGCCGCTTCGCGCTGGGTTTGCTGCTGGTGCTGCAGCCTGCGCCTTCCAGGACGCTTCGCGTCCACGGGCCTGTGTCTAGAGACCGCCTAGGCCAGCACTCGTACGCCCGCGCCACCTCGCCAATTGCATCTGCTGACGAGCCATCCGGCGGCACCACTCTTGCGAGCCGTGCCGCGGGCGCGGCGAGCGCGGTGTACGCCTTTAGCCGTCCGCACACGGTTCGCGGGACGCTACTCGCCTGCGGCACTGGCGTCGGTCGCGCGCTGATCGAGTCGCCGGAGCGCCTCGCCCTGTTGCCTGCGCTGGTGCGCCGCCGCACACACTGCCCACCGGCAGCCGCTATGTCTCACACAGCCACTGCCTTACCTCGCGGTGTTTGCAGCTTCCTCGTGCCATGCTGGGCGTTGTCGCGCTCGTCCTCGGAAACCTCTTTATCGTCGGCATCAACCAGGTTGCCTGCACCCGCCCTCACCCGCTCCTCGCTCCGAGGATGGCCTCGCCTTGCCCGCCAGTCCGCCCACCACGCCGCCCGGGCCGCAGATCTACGATGTCGAGATCGACCAGGTGAACAAGCCGTTTCTGCCTATCGCCGCCGGTGCCATGTCGCCCGCGGCTGCGTGGGCGGTCGTGTGCGCCTCGCTCTGCGGCGGGATGGGTCTGGTCCGCAGCCTCTTCGGCGGGCTCATCTTTCAGCTCTACTCGTTCGGACTCGCCATCGGGGCCCTCTACTCGGTGAATCCCCCCCCACACACACACGCGTGCACCGTGGCCACCCGAGAGAGATCAAAGCAGCACCGCACACGCACTGCCACCCGACGCACACGCACACACACACACACTCACTCCACACACACACACACACACACACACACACACACACACACACACCACGCCTCACGCCTCGCGCCTCGCGCCTCGCGCCTCACACCTCGCGCCTCGCGCGCCTCAAGCTGGAGCCCAGACCCCACTCCCCGCCACCCCGCCACCCCGCCCCCCCGCCCCCCCGCCCCCCCGCCCCCCCGCCAGGTGCCTCCCTTCCACCTGAAGCGCTTCCCGCTCCTCGCCGGGCTCATCATCGCCTGCTGCCGCGGCATCCCTCCCCCCCCCTCCCCCGGCTGCCGCACGCCCCTCCCTCTCCTCACCCTCTCCCCCCGTACTCCAACCACACCTCCAGGACTCCTGCTCAACTTTGGTATTATCTTAAAACTAAGAATATAATAGGCTTCCTGCTCAACTTTGGCGTCTACTATGCGACGCGCGAGGCGCTCGGCCTCGGCTTCCGCTGGTCGCCGCAGGTGCCGCTGCCAGAGCCAGCTCAGCCCACACGTCGTGACTCCGTCCCTGACCCCCCCCCCCCCCTCCCCCCATTTGGCCTCACTGTCTGTTGGCCGTCGCCGGCGCCACACCCACACACACTCCCAGCGCCGTCCGCTGCAGCTGCCCTCTCCTCCCTCCCCGCGGGCCCAGCAGTGGTACCCAACGGTCCTCCCTCGCGCCGCAGGTGTCCTTCCTCGCGCGCTTCATGACCGTGTACGGCGTCGTCATCGCGGCGACCAAGGACTTGCCCGACGTCGAGGGCGACCGCAAGGGCGGGATCGAGACCTTCGCCACACGCCTCGGCACCGGGCGCGTCGCTGCCGCAGCCACCGCCATGCTCGCTCTCAACTACGTCGGCGCGATCGCCACCGCCCTCGCCGCCGCGCCGGGCGTCTTCCGCACCACACTCATGGCGGGCGGCCACGCCCTCGCCGCCGGCTGGCTTGGCCTGGCTTGGCGGCGGCTAGAGGTTGCCTCCGCCGCCTCGATCAAGCGCTTCTACGGCCAGATCTGGAACCTCTTCTACTTTGAGTACATCCTCTACCTCTTCATCTAAGCGCGGGAGGCGGTACGAGGCGGCGCGGAGCGACATGGGGTGCCGCGGTGATGGATGTCGACCGCGATACAGGAGTACGTGACGCCCCTGGTGGTCGGAATTGAGCTCTCGTAATATATATGTTGGATGTGGATGCATTCGGCCGTAATGTTAACGTGTATACGTCTTTCACGACAACACGAGCTCGCCGCCGAAGAGTGAAAAGTGCACGAACGCGGGCGCGGCCAGCCCAGCCCGCCCAGCCGCCTGCGCCTCGCGGCCGGGCGCGAGCTAGCGGTGTAGCGCCCGGCCCGCGGCCCGGCGCCGGCGAAGAACCGGAGAAGCCGCATGAACGCGGGGATGAGACGGCACGATAGACCATAGTTTTGATTGTGCGTTGTGGATGTTCTGGGGGAGATATTCACGGTTCTTGTTCTTGAGTTGGGAAAATGGGCATGCACATCCACATGCATATGCACATCCACACGCACATGCCACATGCACATGTACATGTGTTGTTGTTGTGCATGTGCATGTTGTAACAAAAACACACACGTGCCCCTGTTATCTTGGAGCACTTGAAGAACCCTGCACAAAGATCGCAAGGGCGGGGACCTGTTCCTTTTTACCCATCTCACAGTAGAGAGGTGTCCGTTTTTATTTATTTATTTATTTATTGGAGCACTTGGAGTGCAGTCATTAACCGCACGCCCAGGGCCGGGGAGCTAAGAAGCGCACCCAGAGGCCGGACGATTGGTACCGGGCTACGGGCAAGATAGCCCTGACCCCTCTAGGGTGGGTGGGTGCGCGTTATCCTCCGCAGCGGAAAGAGTGGGCCCCGGGTGTAAATAAAAGGGCGACGGACGCTTGCGTCCTAGCCTCCAACAACGCCTCCCCGGCGCAGAGGGGCCCCAGGAGGGATGCTCAACCGCTCCATGCCACGCCGCTTGCGGCGGTCCTATTCCCAGCTCAGCTGAGGAGCACTTGGAGCACTTGGAGTGACGACGTGTGGACGGATGGAAAAAAGCCCCCCTCTCATGGCTGGCCCTGGGCATGGCCTCTCTCTCTCTGGGTCAGCTGGGTCCGGGTCTGCAACTCGCACGGCGGGTCCGCGTCCGCCGTTTCATCTCGAGTTTGCCCGAGTGGTAAACGCAATCGAAATTTGGGTAAACGCTGCAACGATCGGGAAAGTTGGCCGGATGGTCTGGGGAATCAAAAGAAAGGGATAAACCAAGCGCCGCCAATTAGCTTAAGATCGACATCCCCTCCGGCTACGACAAGATGCACGTGATCTGGTTGGTCCTCACGGGGTTGACCCGTCCGTCTCCTCCATCCAGATCAAGACGGACTCCATGGACGGCCGAGCAATGTTTGTTCATTCATATTATTAATTAATGCTTTCGCACGGCTGAGCCCCCCCTCCCTCCCCCGCGCCCATCCCCTGCCTGCCCTCCCCCGCCACGCGCCGTCCGAGCCCTCTCCGCTCTTGCACAGGAGGAAATTGGAATTAATCAGATGGCTTCAACAAATCATGATTGGGAGAGGGGGGACGACACCGCCCGATCTACCCTCCGGGGTCCCTCGGCGGCGTGCACCTCGATCCTGGACCGCCGAGTGATGGGGTCCCAAAATGTCGTGAGGCAGTGCATCCGACTGCCCCGGATCCAGCTGAACGAGCTCCTCTTGTAGCATGAGCACTCTCATGGTCTTGCTATGATCCACGGTCGCAGCTGGAGAGGAGGTCCTGGGGAACGGGAACTGATGGACCTCTCTCCAGCGGAGGGAACGACCCGGCCCGATTCTTCTGGTCCGCGTACACCTCCCGCCGTTCGGTGAGCTTGCGCCTTGTGCATGCCGATGGCAGCCCATGTGGCGGACGGCATGCACTTTGGGGTGTTCATGGGGTCCCGTACCATGCGGAATCGACCCTATCCAGTGCTCAAGTGCTACCGTGAGGGTGAACCTTCTTTTATAGACGGCTAGGATTGAGAGCAGCCTCGCTCTCAACCCTAGAAGTCGAAGGATTGTGAGCAGCAGTCCTCGCAATCGTAGCATCTCTGTCGGCGATTGTGAGCGCCTACGCTCGCAATCCTACATCTTCTAGGACTAAGAGCAGCTCCGCTCCCAAGGTGACTGGCTGGTGACGCCTACGACTACTGCCAGCGCGCTCACAATCCGAGCAAAGTCTAGGGTTGCGAGCAGCACTGCTCACAATCCTAGCAACATGCCTCCTATTACGAGCAGTAGCGCGCGCAATCCTACATGTACATGTCTGTATGTCGGACTATGAGCGGCTGCGCTCACTCACAATCGTACCAAAGATCCAAGGATTGCTGGCAGGTGCACAGGGGGCGCTCCCAATCGCTCCAGCCGCGAGCGCTTGTGAGCGCGCCGGGATGGTCTCCTCACAATCCAAACAGTGATCCCACCGATTGCGAGGGGACCCGCTCGCAATCCTATAGTCTATAGAAGATAGATGTAGGATTGCGAGCGTAGGCGCTCACAAGCACAGAGATGCTACGATTGCGAGGAGTGCTGCTCACAATCCTTAGACTTCTAGGATTGAGAGCGAGGCTGCTCTGATCAATCCTAGCCGTCTAGAAAAGAAGGTTCACCTCAAGTGAGGGCCCCGCGTTATTTTGTCGCCGTTCGGTCTGTTTCGGCCGAGCTAACGTTGGTGCTGTCATGGCTGCTGCAACCGATGGGGAGAGTTCGCTGGTGCGATCTCGCATCTACTCTGTGATATCCGAGGCACGCGCTTCGCTGACGAATCCATCCAGGCCCTTCACGCCGAACGTCAAGGAGCGCCGCTCGCTGTGCGACGAGCGCAGTCAGCTTGTGGGAGGAATGCGCACTGAAATGAACTTGAGGGCGGGCTGTGTGGTGCGCCCGCTTCGAACGATCGACGTCTCAAAGAAGTCCCCGTTGCATGCGTCGTTGCGTGCGACGGCGGCTTCGGCAGCCGCCCTATCCCATTCCATCGGCGATGCGCAAGTGCTCACGCTCGAGCCACAGGAGGCCAGCACCCCAGGGCGCAGCAAACAGATCCATCACGACGACGATCGATGGTGGTTGTCGATTGAAGAACTTCTGAACGAGCTCTGCAGTGGCGCCAGCGGGAAAGAGGAGCGAATGTGTGAGATTTGCGAAGACCTGTGGCGACACCTGAGCATGCAATGCGGCGACGCAAAGCCGCGCGCGCGCTGGCTGGGCGGCTGTGTCGGCCACCGTCGCTCGGGTCGCGTCGTCGAGGCGTGCGCTCGGCTGATGCACCGCCCAGATACCAAACTGCAGCTGCGCCTGGCCCGCCTCATCCTCGCCTGTGAGCCAGACGCGCACACACTCAGTGCCGTGCTGAAGAGCGTGTTCAAGTTCTCGAAGGATGAGCGCAACGACTCCTCCTTTGGAACGCTCGAGCTCTTGCCGCTCCTGATGCATCGACTGACCGCTGCCATCTCTGCCGTTGTGGGCCCGCTGACCACGGCCACAGCTCGGACATCCGATGCGTTGCACAGCGAGGCTTGTTTTGAGGCTGCGCTCTACGCGGCGGCCGCCCTCAAGAACCTCTCGGCGGACACGGACAACGGCCGAGCTCTCACAAAGCTTGGAGCGGTTGGAGCGTTCACTCACGGCCTAAAGAGACTATTAGCGTTGCTGCGAGATTCATCGCGCCCTGCGACGGCCTCGCTGCCCGCGACGGCCTCGCTAGTCCGCTCAGGGGTTGACCAGTCCCTCGCCGGCCGACGCGAGTGCCGGCTCCTCTTGCAGCTGACGGTGGCGTTGCGCAATCTCGCCGTGATCGGAGGCGCCGCGAACGGATTTGTCGTTTGTGGGGCAGTTGAGGTGCTATGCGACACAATGGGAGCAGTGCCGTTCGACGCAGACGTGTCCCTCGCTTGCGCTCGTGTTCTCGCGAAGCTGTCCCTCGACGCTGAGGCGCCTCGCGCCACCGTTTGTCGCCCAGCGCTCGGGGGCTGCTTACGTTGGCTCGTCCATCGCATAGGTTCAGAGGCGCCTCGGTACCAACCGACGCCTCGCCGAGATACTCCTCGTAACAATGAAGGCCCATTGCCCGCCCGACAGCCGCTGTCATGAAGCATTGCTGGTGCGTCTCTCTTTCGTCCTGGGCAACCTCACCGCTTGCTCTGCGGCGAGCCGCTCAAACCTCGCCTCCGCTCTCCCCGCCCTCCTCAAGCTCCTTTCCTACCACACAGCTGCCTTCCTCCGCGCGGTCGCTTCCGCACAGGGAGGCAACGCCGGCTGCGCGGCCAAGGCTATGCGCGAGCACAGCTTGGAGCCATTATCCGCTCCGGGTGTCGTGGCATCGAGTGGCTGCAGCGGAACCCCCTCTGAGGCCAGCATGGACGGCTCGGTTGGCGGCGCCGCAGCCAGCGATGTTGGTGGACTGTCCGATGTCCTCACCAAGCTCATTCGTCTTATTGCCCATTTAGCGATGAACGAGGCGGAGGGTGTTGCGATCTCTCGCGCCCATGAAACCGCAAGTCTGCTGGAGTTGCTTGCGGCTCTGCCGCTGGAGCCCACGCCACTCGGGAACGCGTCTCCGCTTGCGCTGGAGGAGCTGCGGCTTAACACGACGTCGGCCGTGACCAACCTCAGCTTCTACTCGACTGGCGACAACGTACTTCTCAACGATGCGCATGTGCTCCTTTGCCAACTGCTAGCCCAAGCTCTGACCTACCCAAATGAGGAGGGCGTCGTCGAGGCTGCCCGTGCGATTGGCAACCTCTCTCGGACCGCCGCGGCCCGGCAGAGTCTTTGTTCGCTGCACGCCAGCGAGGCTCTGCTGCTTCTCCTGGGCCATTCATCGGCATCTGTGGTCAATGCATCCTGCGGGGCGCTCGTCAATCTCGCGGGCGACCCTCGCTGCCTGTCGCACCTGTCTTCCCTGCGAGCTACCCCGCGCGTGGCCGAGGCTATGCTGCTCCAATTAGAGACGATGCATGCCGCCGCGTCCAGATCGTGTGGGGAGGGCGGGGCGACGACCCAAGCTTACGAGGGCTACGGCGCGGTCGCGGCGGAAGCTGCACTGATGGCAGCCAAGACGCTGTGCAATCTACTATCGTCAGGACTCGACAGCGACACATGTCCCGGAGAGCATCTGCTCGATTGGTCAGCTCGCCACGCACTGACCACCGCATTGGCCCCCCTGGCAACCAAGCAAACACTAACATGGAAGACAGATGCGGGCGAGTGGCCGCACGTGGCATGGCTCCTGATGAGTCTCTTGCGGCCCGAAGGTGGGCGGGAGCAGGGGCGAGGGGAGGGAGTGGTCTGCAAAGAGAAGAGGAGAACTGTCGAGCAAGTCTGCAAGACATGAGTGTGAGTGTGGCTCAAGTACATGTACCCCAAAAGTGCATGTCGAATACCAGCTGTGTTCATCATGTCGCCCCATGCTTGTCTACAAGTAGGTGCTCCAACCTCCACAAGTGCTCCAAGTGCTTGTCGCGTAACGCTCAACCCCGGTCCGTCCACACTTGTGAGCTGTGAGCTATGTAGTGGGGGGGTCCACTTTGTTTGGCAGCCCGACGGCGAGTGAGACGACTCCTCCCCGAGAGCTGTGGGACACGCGATTTCAAACAGACCTGTTTTGATTGCGTTCTCAAAGATTAATTTCGTATCCCAGCGCTGAGCGGCTCTCTCTCTTGTCCGTCTCAGACCAGGAGAGGGGTCCCGTACTGCGTAATATATCGACCCTGCCTGAGTATAAGGAATAGCGACAGACCGACCGACCGGCTATCTATCTAGTGCTCAAGTGCTCAGTGAAATGCAGCACGCAACGAAAAGAATTTAACAAAAACAACTGTCTCTGGCAGACAGGTTCGACACAGGCGCGGAATGGCACACGAAAAGAATTTTACAACAAAGCTCCCTCGCACGACACTGGGCACGGGACTGGCGCGCACTGGCACTAACAAAAGCGGAATTAGCCTGCTGCTGTTGCAAATCCGCAACTCTAGTGGTCCCGAAACGCGGCCCCGTGTCAGCGATCCGGGAATGAAGAAGGTGCCGCGCGCGGCCGGCTGCCATTGGCGACGAGTCTGCTGGCGCTGGCTGCGGCGCGCCTGCAGCAGGTTGCCATGGCGAGCGCCCACAACGAAGCGAGATCTGGCACCAGACGAGGGAGAGCCCGCGCCGGCGCCCAGCTTTGTGCTCCCACCGCTGGTCCTTCCGATGGTGTTGCCGGTTTTTGGCCCCATTGCGCTGCCAGTTAGTGTATTCCAGGTCCCCGTCCCCTTTTGATGCTTAGTGCGTCTTGGCTGTGAGAGCACCGGATACACTGATGATATCAATCTTCTAGAGACCCCCTTCTCCCTCTCTTTTGACGCATCTGTTCGTTGCACAATGTAGGGCATGCACATCCCGTTGGCGTCACGCGTGCTCCTAGGATACGACAGAGTGTGCCAAAAGCGTGTACGAGGAAAGCAGACGGACATAGCAAGGCGCACGAACTATGTCAGTGAACTAATATCAGAGGACAAAGCTAAAATGCCGCGCGCCCGGGCGCCGTCGGCCCTCTTGCTCTTCGCTGAGCTCGCACGTCGCAGCGCGCGGCCCCCCGGCCCCCCGCGGCAAGCGCCCGGCCGCCGCCGCTGCTTGCGGCTTGCGGGCCACGCACCGGCACGCCCCTTGCCCTTGGCTCAGCATTTGCGGAAATCGGGCGATGTGTGAGTGTGTGCGAGATGCCCGCAGCGCCGCACACTACACCTCGGTGTTGACCACTTCCCGGGCGCGGTTTGCTGCTGCTGGGCGCGATGATCACAATGCTGATCGCGGGCAACCGCCAAAGGGGAAAAAAGCTGCGACACAAAAGAGGGACTCCCGCCTCTGCTCCAATTTCGATATACGCTTTGCGACCCTCTCAACGCGGCGGCGGTGGGGCGTATCGCGGGGGCGGCGGCCATGCAAGGCGTGGAGGAAGTGGCAGCGGGTAGCCACCGAACGGATGGTATGACGGCGGCGGGTGCGGCGAGTTGTAGAAAGGCGCCGCAGGGGGAGGGGGCCCATGCGGGACCGCACCGCCCATGGGCGCGTAGGCTGTAGCGGGCGGCGGCGGAGCGAGTAGCGGCAGCCGCGGGGGGACGTGCCGCAAGTGCTGCGCGGAGGGCGGAGGGCCCGGGGGTGGCTGCGGGCCAGCCCACGCTGGCGGGCAGCCCGGAGGCGGCCCGCCTGCTGTCAGCCGGGGAGGCGCCGGCTGGGCGGCGACAGCACGCCCCCTGCGGCCGCCTTTGCCATCACGCCCACCCTTGCCGCCGCCCTTGCCGCCGGCCGCTCGGCCCTTGCCACCGCCACGGCCTCCCCCCGCCGGCGCGCTAGCGCCAGCGGCTGACCCCGCTGCCGCCGCCTGCGCCAGCTTGCGCTTCCGCCTGTACTCCGCCTCCGCCTCGTCGTCCGAGAAGTCCTGCTCGTCGAGCTGGCACTCGTCGTCATCGGCGCCGCTCGCGTCGGTCCCCTTGCCTTGCTTGATTGCGGACGGGGCGAGGAAGGACGAGTGCGCCGGTGCGACAAAGACCTCGTCGCCAACAGAGAGGCGGAGACGGTCGGTGTCTCCGACACGCACCGAGTAGAGGGGCGCCGAGACGGGTCCAAAGATCTCCGCCACTCGCCCAAGCACCTGGACCGCCTCCGCGCCCGAGGAGGGAGGAAGGCAGAGCAGCGACGCCTCGGCGAGCGGCGGCAGCCCGGGGAGTGCCTTCAGCACTGCCATGTCATCGAGCAGGGAGACCACAGCCGCCGCCCGCTCGAGCTGCTCCCCCACAGGCAGCGAGGCGGGCGCCTCCGGTGCCGGCTGCTCATGCCTTGTTTTCTCGCCGGCCTCCGCAGACTGAGCGGCGCCGCCACGCACGCTCTCCTCCTCGTCGTCCTCGTCATCGCGCATCGCGTCCACTTGACCCGGCTCGGCGGGGCACGCCCGAGCACTCTTTGCGGCGGGCTCAAGCACGTCCTCGCTGTCGCTGCTCTCCCCATCGCTGCTGCTCACCAGCTCTGCCGCAGGCATCCGGGCGGCCTCAGCCGCGCCGAGAGAGCTGCTGCTTGGCGCCGGAAGCTCATCGAGCGCGAACGTTGCGCCGGCTGCCAGTGCTGCTTCCGCGTCCAGGATTGCCTCGGCCTCACTTGCGCCGCACTCTGCCAACCCGTCACTACCCTCGCTGTCCCCGCTATCCGCGCTGCCTTCCTCACTCTCAGCAACGCTCTCGCTGTCATCCTCGCTGTCATATTCTGCATCGACGAGGCTAATCATGGGCGTGCGTATGAACGAGGGCAACGCATCGAAAAGAATTTAAACAAAACAACTCTGTCTCACAGCAGACAGGCTCGACACAGGTGCGAACTGGCGCGTGCTAGTACTATCACCGGCACACCACCGGAGCCGCATCGAAAAGAAAGAGCACGAACGCATACTAGTATGACTCTTGGCGGCAAATGATTGGAGTGAGGTGAGAAATGTGGTCCTTGCGCGAGGAGAGCTCGATAAACTCGAGGGGCCAAAATATGCCGAGAAAGAAAGAAAGAAAACAGACACCCCAAACGAGGTGTGACGGCGGAGTTGACGCCTCCGACGGTCGTAGCGGCGTGGCTGAGGGCGGCGGTGGAGGCGCCCGATAGCGCGGTGAGGATGGTCTCATGGGTCTAGCAAACCATAGACGACACCAAGAGAACGCGAGGTAAAACCCGACGGCTATGGATGGTAAAAGGCGGCGGTAAAACCCATCCACACGGGTTTCGGTGGGTTGGATGGGAGGTAGAATGTCTACCTACCGCACCCCCCCCAATGTCGCTGGGCGGGATCGGCCCGCAGAGGCGGCATTGATCAGTTCCCCCCATGCACCGCGCGAGCTCGCGCGTTGGAGGCGTGGTCGACGCTGCGCTTGAGCTTCTCCTTGGGGACCCATTTCGTCAAGAAATCGGCGGGCATGAGGTCGTCGGTGATCTTGACGACGCGGCACTCGCCGTCGGCCATGCGGCGCTGCAGCGTGTGGTAGCGGCGCAGGAAGTGGCGCGAGCGCGAGGCGGATTTGGCGTTGTTGGCGACGAGGACGTTTGCCTTGTTGTCCGAGAGGATGACGGTCGGTCCGGTCGGCGGGGCGCCGAGGGCGACGAGGACCTCGCGGGCGTATGCGACGAGCTCGCCCGCTTTGGCGCTGGCGATGGCCTCGCTCTCGTGTGAGGAGTCGACGACGAGGCCGATCTTCTTGACGCTGTGCATGACGGCAGCGCCAAAGCAGGTGAGCAGCATGCCATAGAGGTCGAGGTCGCCGTTCCAGGTGGCGTCGGCGGCGGCGACGAGCTCGGTGGGCGCGTGCGAGTCGAGCCCGGCGATGTGCGCGCTCATGCGGCCCTGCAACTCGGCCTCCGCGTCTAGCCCGCCGTACGTGATGCCGTCGTGCTTGCGGTCGTAGGCGGTGCAGAGCGCGGCGCGCGCTACCTCGTAGGCCTCGGGCGGCGGCGCCGACATGACGCACGAGAGGCGGTGGAGGACGAGGGAGAGTCGCGGCTGCACGCGCTCGACGAATTTGAGGTGGCCGATGATGCTCTGTGTGCGCACTTGCTGGGGCGACAGCTTGCCGTCGCGGTCGGCGAGCTTGAGCGAGTCGGCGGCGTCGGCGAGGCGCTTGCCGCTGAGGACGGTCGGACGCTCGCCGCGGAGGAGCTCGGGCATGTGCTCGCGTGCGGCCTCGATGATCTTCTGCGGCATGGACAGCGTGAGGGTGCGCCGCTCGCGGTCGCGCTCGAGCTTGAAGCCGGCGAAGGAGGTGGGCGAGTAGTCGACCTTGACCTCGTCGTTGAAAGCGGCCTTCAGCGCGGCGATGGTGGCGTCGGTGATGGTGGTGCCGTTCACCTCGGAGATGAGGAAGTCGTCGACGATCGTGATCATGCGGGCCTCTCCGTGCTCCCCATGGAACGAGAACATCGCGGGGACACCCGGGCACGGCACCCACCCTAGGCCTTTGATGGTGTCATTGAACGTGCACTCCCACTCGTAGCCAGCGCACTCCTCGCCCCAGAGAGGTGAACAGAGCTCGATGCACAGCTCGGTCCCGTCCTCGTCGGTCATGGGTAGCGTGGACGGGAGCGCCATGTAGCCGACGGGCCCCTGTCGCTTGCCCTTGACATAGGCGTTCCCGACGTCTCCCTTGGTCAGGTGGGCATCGACGGCGGCGGCGTGTCCGACGAACAGCTTGGCGGTCAAGTCGTCGACAACGGTAGAGGTAGCCGGGACGCCCGACGGTGGTAGGCCGGCGCGGGCGCGTTGGACCTTGGCGAAGCCGCCGTCGGCGGAGTGCCGTGACTTGAACGGGTCGTGTTGGTCGAGGCCTCCGGTCGCCTGGTCGATCTTGATCTTGCGCGCTGTGACGCAGCGCTGGATCGGCACGCCCGCGGCCGCGGGGACGGTGACGGGCACGAGGCGGTTGCCGGGGACACGGAGGATGCAGTCGAGGGCCTTGCGGTCGGCGGCCTCCCATTGCGTCCGCTCGGGCGATTCGCGCAGCTCCTTCTTGTTGGCGGGTACGCGGAAGATCTGCTTCACGCCGAGCGGCGTGACGACGTCGACGAGGCGCTGCGTCGCCTTGAGGCACTCGGCTGGCATTGGGGCGCCGGCAGCATGGCGGGAGAGGGCGCGGAGGCACTCGGCTGAGGCGGGGCTGCCGGCGGCCTTGTGGAGACAGGTGCGGCTGGCGTCGAGGCGCTCGGCGGACGCGCACTCGAAGGGCGCGGCGCCGTCGCCGAGGATGGCGTACAGCGCAGCGTTGTAGGCGTCGACGTGCGTGCCGCTGGTGGTGCACTCGAGGGCCGCCTCGGCGACGCTGGCGGCGCGCTGGAGGCGGGCCTGGTAGCGCGTCGCAGGCATGCTCGGCGGCGGCGACGGCGTGCTGGGGGCGGGCGAAGTTGGCGGCAACACCCGCCACTTTCGACGTCGGCGCCGTACATGTCCTCGAGGTAGCTCCCGGAGATGATTGACCGGTTGATGTTGTCGGAAAACACGGCGCCGCGGAGGTCGATGGCGTGGCCGGTGCTGGCGGTGAGCCGCGCGCTGATGGTCTGGGACGTGTTGACGCTGGCGGCGGAACCGACACCGGCGATGTCAAAAGCTTGCTGCCGAATGTCGTATGGTTGCGCGAGGACGTCGGCAAGGCATAGAGCTTCCTCGGTGGCATGCGGAGCGTGCTTTATCATGTTCACGTTGGATCCGTTGTCGAGCTGGCACCTGAGCCTCGCTGGTTCGGTGGGCGCTCGCGGGGTGCCCCGTCTCGTGTGCCCTGCGCCGGTCTCGGCGGCGTTGACGGAGGCGGCGAGGGCGCCGGCGGCGAAGAATACACGGTGCTGCTGACGGATGACGGTGGTCGCGGCGAAGCCGGTGGCGGCTATTTTGTCGAGGGAGCAGAGGCTTGCGACGACAATGACGGCGAGGGCTGCCCGACCGAGGAAGCGGGCGCAGCGGCCGGCGTTGTGGTAGAGGGCTGGAGCTGCATCGACGGCGGCGATAACCAACCCCTCTCTCCCGATGGCGGCGAGGCTGGCAGCGCTGCGTGCAGCGTCGCCGGCGGCTTCGACAGCGTGGCACGCGGCGGCGACAGAGTTGAGGTAAGCGCGGCCGAGGCGAGCACGGCCTGCACTGTCGGCGAGTTCAAGAGCACCGACGACGGCGACGGCGGCGCACGCGAACGCGGCTCCGCGGGCGGCGAGGGCGAGCAGGAGTAGGAACGCAGCGCCGGCGGCGTATGCGAGCGCACGCTCGTGGAGCCCGCGGATCTCGGCGCGGAGCTCGGTGATGGCAGCGGCCTGCTCGGTGGTGAGGGCATCGAGCTCGCCGAGCTCGCGGTTGGCTGCGGCGAGGCCTTCAAAGGCGCCATTCTTTGCGGCCTTGGCAGCGAGGGAGGCGGCGCGTGCGTCCTTCTCTGCAGCTAGGGCGGCGCTGGCAGCGGCGTTGGCGGCGTCGGCGGCGTCGGCGGCCTCGGCGCTGGTGTGCGCAATGTCGCCTCGCAGCGCGGCGAGCTGGCTGGTGTAGGCCTCGAGCCCGTCGTCGTGGGCGTTCGCAGCAGAGTCGCCGGCGGGGGTGGCCTCGGCGCTGGCGGTCTCGAGGGCGCCGATGCAGCCGTCGTCGCCGAAGACGGCGTCGTCGGGGACAGCGGCGCGGAGGTCGGGGGCGGGCGCCTCGGCGGCGTTGGCCTCTCCCTTGCCGATGTCCTCCTCGCCGTTGTACTGCTTGTTGGCGATGATGAAGGGGACGATGTCGGTCTTGACGAGCTTCGTCTTGAGCTCGTTAACCTCGGCCGCCGAAAGCGCCTTGAATGACTTGCGGCTGGCAGAGGTGGCGCCGGAGACGCTGGCGCAGTTGAGGAGCGTCCGTAGTTCATCGACGGTGACATTGGCAGGGGCGGAGCCGGCGGCATGTGGGGGCGCGGCGCCGGCACCAGGCGTAGGCGCTGGAGGCGGTGCTGGCGCGGGCGGCGGCTGTGGCGCTGCTGGTGGCATCCAGGCCTGAGACGGGTACGTGCCTGCGCCTCCGCAGAGGGGCGGGATGGCGCCGTATGCACCGGCGGGTTGCGGGTAGCAGTAGGCCTGCTGCTCCCACTGGGCAGGGTGGATGGAGCCTCCTGGCTGAGCCATGCCCTGCATGAAGGGGGGCAATGCCGGGTCCATTATGCACTGCTGCGGCATGCCGTACTGTTGCTGCGGCGAATACATAGCGGGCTGCGAGCACAGCTGGCCGGCGCTGGCGCAGAAGGGCTGGCTGAAGAAGGGCTGTGGGGCTCCACACCCGCCATGCATATGCAGTTGCTGGGCCGGCGGGACCGGCTGCATCGGCATTGCGCATTGGCTGTGCGATGCCGCACCACATTGCGATGGTGATGCGTAGGAGCCGGCGGGCGGCACGTGCCCGACGGGTGGCTCGTGCCCAGTCGTCCCTGGTGGCGGGCCGGTGGGCAGTGGCGGCAGCTGCTGCGGTGGCGGCCGCAGCACTGGTGGCGGCGGCCGCATGGCAGGCGCTGAGCCTGCGGGCGGATTGGCGTGTTGGGCTGGCGCTGGACCGCGATCAGAGCTGATACCATGTGACGGCGGAGTTGACGCCTCCGACGGTCGTAGCGGCGTGGCTGAGGGCGGCGGTGGAGGCGCCCGATAGCGCGGTGAGGATGGTCTCATGGGTCTAGCAAACCATAGACGACACCAAGAGAACGCGAGGTAAAACCCGACGGCTATGGATGGTAAAAGGCGGCGGTAAAACCCATCCACACGGGTTTCGGTGGGTTGGATGGGAGGTAGAATGTCTACCTACCGCACGAGGGATAGATAGATAGGGGAGGAGGACAGGGTCCACACCTGCACGAGCAGGATTTTGGAAGGACGATCAGGGGCACAGGTGGGGCTCTCCTGCTCCTGACAAGGGACACGACAGGCTCGCAGCGCGGTGCACGGTGGAATCCCAACTCCACTGGCTGTCGTCTCATCTCAGTCTATCGACCTTCCTCCGGCTTCTCACCGGCTGTCTCTCACTACCACTGGCACACTGACACAGGGGTGGCAGGGGCGGCGGTAGGGGCAAACACTGAAAACGTAACTTGATCGGGGCGCGGTTTTTTTTGGACTAGACTGCTCGGGGGAGGTGGGCGAGTGATTGGGTAGCTTTGGGGCCACCGAAAATAATGAGAACCGCCCCCTATATCTCGCCAAATCTCGATTTTTCGCGGGAATGGGCGCTTCTCAGCCCCGCGCGAGCTACAGTGACTCCCCAGGGCTTGTCCCGTGGCCCAAAGTGGTACCCCGAGCTCCGCCACGAGCGTGGGCAATCAGGAGACACCCACAGTCACGGCGGGCGAGGAGTTGGGTGACGGCCAACTGTCGATTACGGCGCCTCTGGAGCCTCCTGTATCGTCGGTTCGGCTCGAAGATCGTGCCGCATCCGCATGTAAACCACCTCCGCGCCCCCGCTGGCACATGTCCGCATTGCCCGAGCCTGGGAGAAGTTCCCAGTGCCCGGAGGCTGCACAGGTCCGCGAAACGCTGGCGCTGCAGCTCCCGGCGCGCACCCCAGATTCGCGAGGAAAACAGCCGAAAACGGGTCGCGCCGCGATCGACCCTCAGCGAGCCCAGGCGAGCCTGGTAATCCCACCCGGTGGTAAGCGCACGTCCTCCGCGTAATCTAGCGCGCTGTGCAGCCCGCCAGTGCATGGCGTCGACCTGGGCCGCGACTGGTCGATCTCGCCGCGATCTCGCCATCCAATTCTCGGTCAGGTGTAGTGGATCACCTTAAAATCCTGGATTAATTCCTGAGCCCACCTGGCCCCACCAGACGGGTAGCACGAGGCGCCCGGGCCACTTTTTAGCGCCTCCCGAGCCTCCCGGCGCCTCCTGTGGCCTCCTGAACCCTCTCCCCCGCAGCCTCTCTCGGCGACGTGGGGAGCGGCTGCCGTTCACGGCTCGCACCGGCTCTTCCAGCGGCTCCACGCTTGCCGCCTGTGACGCCCGCGCCACGCACTGCCACGCGGCCGCTCGAGAGAGCGGTCGACGCCCATACTGCTGGGCGTGGCGCTCTATCGGTCGACGCTTCGGCGTCGCTGCTTGGTTGGGGACCCGTGCCTCGACGCGGCGGCGCGGCCGAGTACGGCTCGGTGGCACAGCGCGTCGCCACGGATAAGATGCGGCCACAAGCGGCTGGGGAAGCTCCAAGAATGTTTCGTTCTACTTGCAGGAGAGGTCCAAGCAATTCTGGTGACTGCATGGCTCTTCGCGTCGAGGGATGCGTCCAAGATCGGATTGGCTTTTTTGAAAGCGCCGTGTCTTGCGGCATATTCCGGGTCATCGATCCACGTGATGTGACAAACTAGCCGCTAGTAATGAATATGGGAATGTCATCTAGTTCAGGCAACCCGAGCGACAACTTCACGCGCTTGGCGTGTGTGTCGTGTGTGCCTGCTGCTCAAGCGGATCATATATCCTATCCCCTCCGTTTTGTGGTAACGCGGATATGAGCATATACACAACACACATACCACGGTCCGTCTGCATCCTCGGCCATCTACCGCCGTGCCGCATCACCCTATGTCGCCGCGCGGCGGCCGCCGACGCGTCGGCGCTCGCCTGCAGCTCGGTGTACGAAGGCGCCGCCTCGGGCTCCTCCCGCGTGCGGTGCAGCGCCGAGAGCACCTTCAGGAGCGAGGCGACGGGCACCGCCGCGGCGATGTGCCGGTGTAGCGTGTGGGAGCCGTTGGCCGGGTTGTACGACGGGCCCGAGATGCCCTTGGACTTGGCGAGGCAGTTCTTCAGATAGTTCGAGAGCGCGGTCTGCCCGACGTCGTGGTCGATGACCTCGAGCTGCACCAGCGTGCGCGTGGTGTGGGCGAGCGGCTCCGCCGCCCGAGCGGCGGCTTGACTGAGCAAGGACGGGACGAGGCCCTTGGCGAGAGCCAAGTTACGCCACTGCGGATCGTCGGTCGGAGGCTGCCATCGCTCGCGCAACTGCGCACAACACGCACACACGGCTCAGGCAGCAAGGCCGAGATAGAGCCGAGATATAGCCGAGATACAGCCGAGATATAGCCGAGGTGTAGCAGCCGCGGCGGCGGCTCAGGGGGCGGTGGGAGAGCAGGGCGGGCGCCTGCTCGTAGCGGCTCGACTGCAGCAGCACGACGTTCATCCACTGGTCGACGAGCGTCGGGACGGCGACCCACGAGCCGTCCGCGCCGCGGCCATGTAGCAGCACGAGCAGCGCCCATGCGTGCACCTCCGCCTCGCTGGGCAACGCCTTGCCCGAGGCGCACAAGATCGAGTTCCTGCGGCGCGCGCGCGGCAAGAGCTCGCCAAGGCGGGGCGAGCGCGGCCACGGCGAGGGCGGGCACGCACCGCTTCGATTCGGGCGCCCCGCGCTGCAGCGCCGCGCGCCGCTCAAGCTCGGCCTGCACGTTATGGAGGATCTACTGGAGCTCCTCGGTCGTGACATCTGCGGCACACACGCGCAAACCTGAGACCCCCACGGGCCCGGCGGCGGCGCGGCGAGCGGGGCGCGCGCAGGGGCACACACGGGCGTCGCAAACGCGCGGGCGCAGCGCGCCTGGAGCACCAGGAAGGGTGCCACCGCCGGCGCCGTGCTCCGCGTGATCACCTGCACGCACAGGCATCGCAGATCGTCAATGTCCCGCTGTGTCCCGAGCTTGGGGCTCGCGCTCCGGCGCCACGGGCTCGACGCGAGGACTCTGGAGAGAATGTCAGAGTGAGAGTGGATGAGGTTGGAGTGGAGGCGGCAATCGCCGTGCGGGCGCGCCGGGGGCTGCAGACTCCTCCAAAGCAGCGGGACGGGGCGCGCGCGCGACCGCGGGCCGGATTTTGCGGGGGAACTCGGGGGGAGGGCGCCCCGGACACGCCCTGCACGCGGCGCGGGCTGGCGCTCACCAGGAGCGGCAGCATTTGCGGTTTTCGACTGTGGTTTTTCTTTGGACGCCATCATTCTTTTCCCTTTCAGCGGCCTCACTTGTCGCATTTGCGAGGAAAGCAAGCGCGAGCGCTGCGGCGCCGGAGTCTTTCGGTCACCATTCTGGACCATCTTAATATTTTTCAATGATTTTTGCAGGGTCTGAAAGCTGAGACTCAGCTCTTCACGCTCGGTATGAAAGCAAGGTCCGTCCGGGGGGTCCCATTTTTCAGTATTTCCCCCTAGCGGCGGCATGAGTCTCCAAAATATGCCGAGAGGAGGGCGGAGTTGCGCAGAGAGGCGAGAGAAGCAGCGAGCGAGAGCAAGGGTGAAGGGATCGGCAGACGGCAGCGGCGTCTGCCGTCTCAGAACGAGGCCGAGGAGAGCGATGAGTCAGAGGATGAAGCAGCAGGAGAGAGAACGAGGACGAGAGTGGGACGACCAACGAGGTGGCATGAAGGTCGCTGCGAGAATTGGCGAGAAACTGCGAACAGAGATAGGAAGAGGTAGACGCCCGAGGGTGGGCGAAGGCTAGCACCGCACTCCTCTCCTTAAAATCCCTGTGTGGTGGCGGCGTGCCGTCCTCCCATCCCTCCCTTGGGTTGTGTGTTTTCTTTCTTTTTGGGGGGCACGGGACTGGCGCGCACTGGCACTAACACAGGTACGGAGGTTACGGAGAAGAATTTAAACAAAACAACTCTCTCTTACAGCAGACAGGCTCGACACAGGTGCGGACTGGCGCGTGCTAGCACTATCACAGGCACACCACCGGAAAAGAAAGAAAGGAAACAGACAACCCAAGAGAGGGATGGGAGGACGGCACGCCGCCACCACACAGGGGTTTTAAGGAGAGGAGTGCGGTGCTAGCCGTCGCCCAGCCACCCTTGGGCGTCCGCCTCTTCCTAGGAATCCTATCTCTCTTTCGCAGTCGAAAAAAGAAAGAATTTTGTAACCTCCCTCGCACGACACTGGGCACGGGACTGGCGCGCACTGTGCCTCAGCTTTGGCACTAACACAGGTACGGAGGTACGGAAAAGAAAAGAAAGAAAACAGACAACCCAAGGGAGGGATGGGAGGACGGCAGGGATTTTAAGGAGAGGAGTGTGACTACGCGCCGGCGCTCGGCGCACCCAAGTCCAATCTGGAGTTGATCGTTGCTTCCCTTTCGCGAGGCGGTGCGGACTGCCGGAGGCCTCGGTCTCTCCCCTCTGCCCGTGCGACTTTCGCTAACTCCCTCGAGCGTAGATCGTCTCTCTTCGGCGCGCTCGAGCACGTTTGGCACCAAGAGGCTTTGATTCTTACGACCCTCACCCGCCAAGGCAGGTGTGCACTCTGCTAGTACTTGTGTACTCACACCACTACACTGTGGGGTGTGCCCGAGCATGATGTATGTGCGCGTCTGTGTGTGTGTGGGACAGACGTTGTTGTCCTATGCGCGGGGCTTCCCGCGGGGACCGAAGACGTAACAGCAGCAGCAGCAGCAGCAGTGTGATGCGCTAGCCGTCGCCCACCCTTGGGCGTCCGCCTCTTCCTATCTCTTCGCATTCCCTCGCCGATTCTCGCTGCAACCTTCATGCCACCTCGCGGTCTTCCCACTCTCGTCGTTCTCTCTCTTGCTTGTCGCTTCTTCCTCTGTCGCTTCGCTCTCCTCTGCCTCGACGATCGTGCGACTCTCAGGAAGGTCGGCGGAGAATTCCTTTTTGAAGATCTTCAACACTTCGAGAGAATCCCACTTCTGTTTTTTTCTTTCTTGCGCGAACTGGCACCACAAATGGCACAGCAGGAGAAAAACAGCGCACCTCCAGAATCTGTTTTTAGGGATTTTGACCCTTTCTCGAGCACTACTGTTCTGAGGGGAGATTTTTTGTGTGTGTTGTTGTTTTGTTGATATTTTTGAAAACCAACAAGAAATCACGCCTCTCACAGTGAGATTTGTGCTCGGCAGCTTGTTCAGCCCTCAGCCGAAGCTGGGGCCGGTGGTCCGGTAGCCGAGAGAGCCCGCGTCGATGAGTTCGACGCGGTCGGGAGGCCTTTGCGGAGAGACCAGCGAGGTGACGATCGCTGTACTTCATGGTGTCATCGAGGGGTCCCGTACCATGCGGAACTGACCCTATCCAGTGCTCAAGTGCTCAAGTGTCATCAAAGTGACCGGCTGACAAGCCAGAGGTCGATACTCTGGACGACCCCATAGGATGCCACGAATGCCTGGAGGAGAGGGAGGCGAGGCCAGAGGCAGACTCAGCTGCTCTTGGGTGATCTCGCTTTGGTGGCTGAAGGACCGCTGATCCTGTCACATTCGCGTTCCGAGTCGTGGGGGTAGAAGATTGCGGGGGGGCATCGAGTCAACACTTCCTTGTAGTACAGCGGACCGCCAGGCTCGCCGGCAGCATCCGCAGGGAGGCAGCATATCAGGCACCGGTCTTCTGGAGAGCTCAACAGCTGCAGCCGCGATGGCAGAGTCGGCCGCGGCCAAATCGCGGTAGGCTCATGCCTTCGCGGAGCGACGCGGGTCGCGCGGCGCGCGCGCGTGTGCGAAACGCGACAACAGACACCAGAGGCCAGAGGCCCAATCCCAAGACGCCTGAGCGCTGAACAACTGAACGACCGTCGCCGCAACCGCCCGCCGCAGCAGCAGGCCCGGAGGCCCACATGGCGGTCATCAAACTGATAAGGACTCTGTTATGACTTATGTGTGTCTGAGAGATTTTTAGAAGGCAACAAGCATTTTACAATAAAGCTCCCTCGCACGACACTAGGCACGGGACTGGCGCGCACTGGCACTGACACAGGCACACAAGAATTTAAACAAGCAACTCACACACACAAGAAATCAGCTCGACTCTTTTAAAGGGTCTTTTGTGGATCTGTGATCTGTGTGAGGGTCGGCCCGCAGGCAAATTTTGTATACCGCAGGCGGTGCCCGGTGCCGAGCGCAGGCAGTGCCCACAGGTTGGACCTTAAGAAAAGGTAGATCCCTGGGGGCGAGGCTTGGGGCGAGGGTGGTGGAGAGGGCTGTCTGTGACTGTGTCGGTGCTTTAAACCCCGTAACCCCCCGCCCCGCCGCCCGGGGCCGGGGGGCGGGCCGGATCCGTTCTGTTCTATGTTTAGCTTTAGGGATTTCGAGCTCTGCTTTCTGTGTCTTTGTGCGCCCGAGCCTGACTGTTCTTCGCCTTCCTATCACTCAATCGCGGTCTCGCCGGGGCGGCCCGTTGTCACGCCGCCTCGGGCTTGCCCTCTGCGCCGTCCCCCTCGATGAACAGCAGCGGGAAACAGCCGACGAGGCAGCCGATGATGATGCCGACTGCGCCCGCGCTGGCGGTGGTGAGGCGGGCCGCTCGCATCTGCTGCTGCGCGGGACTGAGGCGTGGGTTGGGCAGGACGGGGCGGAGGACGGTGTCCACGGTGCTGCCGCTCAGCTGGCCTATAGAGGAGCGCGGCCGCGCAGAGGTGCTGACCCGCTCGTGGGGACGGAGGGCACGCACACAGGCAGGTAGGAGGCAGGCAGGCAGGCAGGCGGGCAGCAGGAGGCGGCGCGCTGCTGCCTGTGGTGTCGGCGACAACGTTGCCGAGCGCGGCACACGCCAGGCCCGAGAGGCCGAGCTTCGCGCCGAGGCTCGACTCGATCGCATCGCCCGCCACGAGCATGATTGAGTTGTCCAAAAACCCAAACACAAAGCACGGCAGAGCGGACAGCAGCCCGAGCTTGCCGAGCTGTGCCCAGCTTGGCGGCCCGCTCCCGTGGCCAGACATCTGAGTCAGGAGGGTCGGTCCGCGGCGGCGCCACCACAGGGCAAACTCCTCCGCGTCAATGCTGCCGTCGCGGTCCGAGTCGGCCTCCATCGCGAGCGACCTTGCGTCGATGGGGCTCTCCGCCTCGAGACGCCGGCCAATGCTCTCGCTCAGCAGCTTGAACGAAGCGGCCGGCAGGGCCTTCACCAATGCGTCTGCATCGCTGGGATTTCGAATCGAAGACGCGTCGCTGAGCCCTCGACTTGCCGCGGCCGCGCGGCATAAGTGTTTGCACGCTGGGCGTGCGCGTGCCAGCGAGGGCAGCATGTAGGAAGGCAGGATACCACGGTCGGGTCGCTCCCGATAGAATTCTAATAATATGCGGGTATCTTCAAACACCCCCCCCCTCGCACCTAGCCGCCCCCATTCTCGCAAGACGTGTGAGCATGAGGGGGGGGGGGGGGGTACCCCCCTACAGGTGCCCCTGCCCAGGCCTCTGACCGAGAGGGGGGTACACCTCGCGGGAGCCAAGACTGCTCGACCGACAGGGGGGTGCCTGCCCAAGACCCAGGTAAAACCCGGGTATACCCGAGAAAGTCCAGGTTTACCCGAAAAATAACGCGTCCACATGCCGCGCACGCCCTACTCCCAGGGCCCCTGCGCCAACTGCGGCGCGCACCGCCTGCTCAAGTACGCGCACCGCACCATTGTGTGCTCGCTACAAGTGCCAAAAGGCAGCATCGGCGCAGCGCCAGGCGCGGCTGGCAGGCGGCGGTGCGGACGACGCAGTCGTGCCAACATTCTGCTACAAGATCGAGGCGGTGCTCGGCATGCGCTTGTGCGACCCCGATCGGAAAGAAGCGGCGCAACAAGCTGACTGCTGCCGACAACACTATTTGCTACCTCACGCGCGGTGAGTTTGGAGAGGATGAACACGACTCGGGTTTCACCGACACACGCTGGGTGGAGCTCGAGGAGCTGTACGAGAACTGCGGCAAGTCAAGGCTGAACAGCGCTCTCAAGAAGCACCGGAAGACAGAGCAGGAGGCTGCGGATAAAGCAATCGCTGAGTTAGAGGAGGGAGATGACGAGGCGTAGTTGGACGAATAGCAGCGAGTTGGGAATGTAGCACTTCATCGGAGTGTGGTGCGGAACGCACGAACGTGGAGGCGTGCGTAGCGGCACTGCAGCCTCAGATGGAGCGGAGTCTTCCGTCCTCCTCGTCGCCGCGTCTTCAGGGCACCACAACACCGTGCAGCGCCGGCCAACTAGTGACGCGTCATATTTGAGGGACCCGTTCTCCACGGCAGCTGCTTGAGCATCCCCTCCCGCGCCCATGGCCTGATGCGGTGCCTCCCACTGTGCCGCTTTCTTTTCTTCTGAGAGTAGTGCTTCTTGAACAGTGAGCGTAAGGGCGGCCGCGGCGGTGTAGGGGCGGCGGCGAGCTCCCGGTTGCAAATACTCGCCTCACGGTCCAAGATGGCGGCTCGCGCCCCCAACCGTGCACCAGCGTGCCTCTCTAGTCCCGCCTGCCACCCAGATACCGAGGGTGGGGCGCACTCTTCGACTTGGGCTATTATCTGCCACACCGGGAGGGCGGCCGCGGCGGTCGGTGGCACAGGCGACAAGTCTTCAAGGCACACAAGGGCACGACCGATATTTTGCTTGCAAAAATGCAACATTTTCTTTTCGCGGGGCTCCGCCCCCCACCCCGCCGGGGCTCCGCCCCCCCGGACCCTAGCTGACCGAGGGGAGGGGTCAGCTCCGCAAGCTGGCGAGGGGGCGGCGGGGCGGAACCGAGGGGGGGGTAAGCTACCGGAGGGGGGGTCAGCTGCCGCTGGCTCGGGACCGCTGAGCGACAGGGGGGTGTAGGTACCCCCCCCACCTCCACCTGGTCAGACCGTCGACCAAGAGGGGGGTCCCCAGGTGCGTGGGGGGGGGTGCTTGAAGATGACGCGCATATAACACCCTACCGGGTAGCGTGCCGGCCCTCAGCGGAGCTGGGAATAGGACCGCCGCAAGCGGCGCGGCGTGGAGCGGTTGCGCATCCCTCCGGGGCCCCCTCTGCGCCGGGGAGGCGTTGTTGGAGGCTAGGACGCAAGCGTCCGTCGCCCTTTTTCAAACTCGGGGCCCACTCCGCTACACGGTCCGACCCGAATTTGGAGGGCCTAAAAGTTTAAGGTGTTGCTGCGCAAAAGGGGTCGGACACAGGGCGCAGCTCATGCTAAGAGCCAGAAGGGGAGCTAGAGAGAACGACTACCCTGTCCCGTTATTGCGTGCACCAACACCACAAAAGCTCCTCTCTCTCCTGTCCTCACTCAGGGGGGTCACAACTACCGAGTCCCTCGACTAGCTGCCACGTTGCCGACCGAGAGCGGATCTCCTCCTGCTCCGCAAGGAGGGTGGCCAAGGCTAAAGTCTTGCCGGAGCCGCCGGGCGCGTTGACGACTTGGAGAAGGTCGCCCTTGCACTTGTACTTGTAGAGATGCTCGAGGGGGTGCTTTGTGGGGCGGTGCGCAGCCAGGCCAGCAGTGAGGGGAGGCGCACCCTCACTCTCCTCGGTTGCAGAGCTCGTCGGAGGCTGCGTCACGACGGGAGGGTCGCGACAGCAGTCCTCGGGCGAGCCGACGCGCATGTCCAACCAGCGCTGGGACTCGTTGTGACGGCAGACGCCGGCTGCCTCTCCCACCTTTTTTCCTTCTTTGCCCGGTGCATGGGCTCGATCCGATTCCGCAGCGTGTCGTCCCCAGCGGCGGTGCTGCGCGGGAGGCGGCCGCGGGCACGCTGGGCTCGATCTCAGCGGCTTTCCCCTCAGTTGCTCCGAAAGCACGGATCTGGCGGACGTTCTTGGCTTCAATTTTACGAATCTTGTCAACACGATCGAATGTCTGGACCAGCTGAAGGCTTGCGTCCGTCCACGGCGGACGTCACATGGTTTCTCTGCACGGTATTCGGATTTTGCTATTTGTTCGTGTGGGATTCTTTTTCGAGGTCAACCCGTCATGCGGCAGGTGGCTTGCTTTGGCTCGCTGCCACCGCGGTGGGTCACCAAGAGCTTCTCCGCGTGCGGCGTCATCACCACGCGACGCGCTCGCCACGCCTCACCCGGGCAAAAGGAACGACCGCGCGCCGCCGCCGCCCGCCTCGCCTTGCCTTGCCCCTGCGCCTGCGCCTGCGCCTGCGCCTCGCCTTGCAGCCGCGCACGCGCACACGCTCACGCCGCTCGCGTTCGCTACCGCGAAGAAACCCTCCACCCGAGTTTCGAGCCGGGAGCCAAAAGGTCCCGACTCGAACCGCGAACCGGCTCGACCACCGCCGCTGGCGGTTCTGCAAAGGCACTCAAGGGCAGTGCCTCATATAACGTGAAATAGTGCGAGCGCGCGAGATACTCACCCGACCCACCGTGCCCTCGCGAAGAAGATCTCGCGCAGCGCGCGCTCGCACACGCCGCCCGAGAGCACTCCCACCCCCGCCGCCCTCGCAAGCTCACAGGTTGATTTGAGGAGAAGCAGCTGGGGGAGGTCAAAGCGGGAGAAGGCGGCACGGCGGCGGCGGCGCGGCCCCCCCCCATCCCCACGCCTCCGGGTCGTGCGTACCGCCTCCGGGCGTGAGTGTCCCCCCAGCGTCTGCTCCAGCAGTCGCTCCGGTAATCAGGCCGAGAGTACCAGGGAGGAGGGGAGAAGAGCCCAGGGTGGAGAGAGGAGAAGAGCCTAGGGAGGGGGGAGGAGAAGAGCCCAAGGCGGCCTCCCTCTCCCTCCCCTCCCACCGGGCCTCCCTCTCCCTCTCCTCCCACCGGGCCTCCCTCTCCCCCTCCTCCCGCCAAGCACCGACAGTCTCGAGGGGCCAGCCGCTGGGGGAACCACCTCCTGAGAAGAGGGGGTGGACGTACGCCAGCGGCACGAGGGCTTCAGCCGCACAACTACCATGGGAACGCGACCCACACAAAGCACCAAAGTTAGGCATACCCCCCGGCGCAGTGTCCCCCGCTATGTGTCGCCGTTCGTCGGGGCACGCTATCCTGTGCAGTCAGGGCAAGTGGGGGCGGGGTAGAGTGCCCAGGAGCGTGCTCCTGGGATTTCTCCGCCCAGTCCGGGGGTGCGTCGAACCTTCCATCACCCTGTCGGAAGCGGCGTGCCGGTGGAGGCACGTCCGGGTTTTGGAAGTAAAGATATATTACTTTTTTTTATTTGTTCGTGTGGGGGTATATTGCAGATTTGTCAATGGTACCGCGTCTGCGACGCGGGCGCCTTGCGGGCAGAGCCCTTAGCCACCCTTTATATCTTGCGCGGTCAAAATTCGTATCAACCAAGAAACATCTAGATTCTGTGAATCAAGGCCTCCAACTGTAACAAGGTCTGTGGTTCGCAGCTCGTTCGTGAACAACCAACGGCGCCAGGCGCCTGCCTACCTATTGATGGGTCCATCCATGTGATAGCCTGGGCGTGCAACATGCGCCTGGTTGGACCTGAATGAACGAACGAGCCTGGGGCCGGAGGCGGGAAGTGTGAGAGGCTGCCGGAGGGGCGTCCCGCCCGGCCGGCCCCGCTCCTCCGGTGAAGTCGTGCCCCTGGGTGGAGAGGTAGAGGACGCACGAGTAGTGGTAGACGGCGTGCGTCGCCTCGTCCGTGTGCAGGATCACCTGTCCACATCGCGTTGCACGCTACAGCGCATGTCGCACCATCTCGCCTCGTCCGTGAGCAAATGTCACAGAGTCGCCCGCCGAGCCTCCCCCTCCCGTCTGCTTGAGGCCCGCCTCGTACTTTCGCGCGTACGCCTGCAGCAAGGGCCCGGGAAAGGGTCCAGGCCGGCGCGGGGCCGCTCGTGCGCGCGCGGCGCGCCTGCACGGGCAGCACGCGCGAGAGGGGGAGGCCGTACTCGTGCGAGATGGAGCGCCGAATCCGCTCGACGAGCCGGACGAAGTTGAGGATCGTCGCGGTCGAGCACTTGCCGCAGCCGTTGAAGTTGAA